TAACATTTTTGACATGCATTTTTCTGGATTTTTTTGTTGTTATTCTGTCTCTCACTGTTCAAATAAACCTACCATTAAAATTATAGTCTGATCATGTCTTTGTCAGTGGGCAAACGTACAAAATCAGCAGGGGATCAAATACTTTTTTCCCTCACTGTATATATATATACACAGTACCAGTCAAAACTTTGGACACACCTACTCATTCAAGGGTTTTTCTTTATTTTTACTATTTTCTACATTGTAGAATAATAGTGAAGACATCAAAACTATGAAATAACACATATGGAACCATGTAGTAACCAAAAAAGTGTTAAACAAATCAAAATGTATTTTATATTTGAGATTCTTCAAATAGCCACCCTTTGCCTTGATGACAGCTTTGCAAACTCTTGGCATTCTCTCAACCAGCTTCACCTGGAATGCTTTTCCAACAGTCTTGAAGGAGTTCCCACATATGCTGAGCACTTGTTGGCTGCTTTTCCTTCACTTTGCGGTCCGACTCATCCCAAACCATCTCAATTGGGTTGAGGTCGGGGGATTGTGGAGGCCAGGTCATCTGATGCAGCACTCCATCATGGTAAAATAGCCCTTACACAGCCTGGAGTTGTGTTGGGTCATTGTCCTGTTGAAAAACAAAGGATAGTCCCATTAAGCCCAAACCAGATGGGAGTGATCTGGAAATGGTACTCCCTATATATAGCTCCATTCTTGTGTATTTTATTCCTCGTGTTACTATTTTATTTTCATTTTTACACTCTGCATTGTTGGGAAGGGCTCATAAGCAAGCATTTCACGATAAAGTCTACACCAGTTGTATTCGGCGTATGTGACAAATACAATTTGATTTGATTTTAATTACTTTATCTGGCTTCAACACAGTATTTATCAACTCGGTCACATTGCACACCCTTACGGAGGGGGACATGTAACTGCTCCCACAGGAATGATCTAAAATGTGCAAACCCCGCACCATTGGTAAAAATTGGAGACATCTGGAATTCAGGGGAAAAGGAATAGAGCCTGTGACGTGACTTTCACTTTTGGACGTGCGTTTACAGTACCCGGTGAAATATATAGGGGATGATATGCCACGTTTGCTAGCTTGCTCTCTAAAGTTGTTTCCATCTGGAATATTATTAAGGCGACACTCCATCGTAACTCCTCCTCCACATTTACTGGATTGGTTGAACAGTGCAGAAGAGAACATCCGCCAACAGCTTTTTTTTCTGTTCATGACCAGAATCTGGGGCATTTAGTTTAAGGCGTTTCTTTTACTCCTGCTACATTAGGTTAAATCCAGACCAACCGGGCACCGGGCCATGCAAAACGAACTTGCCCATTCCCACCTCAGGTTTGTCACTTCCTGTTTGGAAAGAAGACTACGGCAAAGATGGTGGATAAATGAAGATGTCTTACTCAGCCCGTTTACCATTGGAAAATAATTATCACAGTTCCGGTCTGCTTAAGGGATGGCTTTCCCATTTAGGCACCAATGCGATAGCAGCTGGGTCTGGTCTGCTTAGGTCATTGACTGTATATGAACCAGAAAAAAATAGCGAGTGGGATGTTTAGTTTCCTCTTCCATCTCTGACTACAGTCAAGTGAGTTCAATGGCCAACCTGGACTCAGGGGTAGACGTAACATAGTAAACTTACATTTTGTCTGATATATTACATTTAAGATGGTATGTATTAATTTGTGGATGTCCAGTGGCAACAAACAATTCTCTTTTAAAAGTTTTAGGCTACACTAAAGTAAGTTTCACCGTATAAAAACTATCCGTTGATAAATATGATAGTAATGTGCAGGGACGTACTGTCAAAAGGAATGTGCCTTTATGCCTTTCCCGACCACAAGCAAAAACTGGTTGAATCAACGTGTTTCCACATCATTTACATTTAAGTAATTTAGCAGACGCTCTTATCCAGAGCGACTTACAGTTAGTGAGTGCATACATTTCAACCCAAAAAATAAATGTGATGACATTGAATCAACGTGGGAAACTGATTGGATTTGCAAAAAGTCATCAACGTAAGGGCATTTCATATTTTTAACCTAAATACAATGACATGGTTAAATATTTTGTTGATTTCACCTTGAATTCACATAAATCAAAACTAGACGTTGAACTAACATCTGTGCCCAGTGGGAGGCTACTACAAAAATGACCATGAAATAAAGTGTGTGGATGCATGGATTGTGTGAGCAGAGCTAACAATTGGCATGTAGTCTTAAGTATTACAAACAGGTTATCTGATGTGTGCCGACATGATATTTACAGGGATGAACATAAATTAATGACGTATGTAGGCCTAGATGTGGGTGTATGTGCTTTGACTTAGCATTCTCCACTAGGAGGTAGTCAAAGACAGGAAATCTACTCAGGACCTACAGATTGTATACTACCCTATGGGCCCTGGTCAAAAGTAGTGCCCTATATAGGGAATAGCGTGCCATTTGGGGCACAGACCTGGTCTCCAACACAATTTATGATGAACTTTGACATAACTTTGATCCACACTGCTCCATGGATGTCCGCTCCATGTACTGTATTGGCCTGCACTTGATAACATGCTAATTGGCCTGCATCTGTATCACATTCGTATAGACAAACTAAAGTGAACCTATCCATATGTTTCTGACTGCTTGCATCATATGACAAAACTGTCCATTGTACTGTACCTGACTGCTTGTATGACTGGCTACTCTTTTACTTTCTGCCACACAGCAGGAGTATGTGGATTTATGTCCAAGCGATGTTGAGAATAGGGCTTAAATTAGCTCTCTAACTGCCCTCATACCAAGATAGCATCCCCAGTGGGAATGAAGCAGTATGAAAACAGATCTAACCCACTCCTCGACCCGAAACAGCACCCCTTTGGGTCTTTGGCTGTCTCGGTCCCAGAATACTCACAGGAATGTTACCCCAAATAGAGGTCAGTGGGACTATCAAGGGACTGAGCTCTTGATCCAGCTTTCTTGTGATTGGTGCCAAGGGACAAGGGTTAGAGTGTGAGGAAGTTAGAAACATGAGCTTGAAAGAAGAGGTTTTATATGATGTGTATCAGTGTTTGTTAAGGTTGTTTGTTAGCATCTTGGTAGAGACCATTGTTTTGCTCTCTTATTTCCCCAATTAGTCCACCGACTTATTGCTAAGCTGCGTCTTGCACTTACTGTATAGTGAAGTCCTCTTGTAGCCTTGCTCTAGTCATGTGACCATTACATCACCTACCAAATGCATGAGAACTCAGTGATAAGGTAGAATGACAACTATCTAACAAGCTGTATTTCTCACTCATGCGGTTGTCTGGGGTTACAGAGAGAGCAGAGTTTGCCTTACTAATGTGAGTTAGCAGGACCTGACTATACACAGTCACTTTGAGGACCAAGAGATATAAGCAGAGGAAACATATGTGGAAGTCATGATTACCAAGAAGACAACTGTGTAGAGCTCTATGAGGTTTCCTGATACAGTGTTTTAGTCCAAGTTTCAACTTCATAGTACATAAATACATCAATAAACATAGCATAGTACTAGCAGTGTTTGGGTAAATTCCAATTTAATTTGAAATTCCAATTCTATTCTTGAACGCACTCATGAAGTGGATAAGTTACATTTAATTACATTTTCAACAATCTTCAAGCTATGGAATTGAAATTGAATTGGAATTAGACTGTTTGGACTAGAATTGAAATTGTAAAAACATTTAATCTTTGGAATTGATTTGGAATTCCATATTTGTACATTTCCCATGAATTAAATTAATGCACTTAGTATCAAATATTGACTGCAGGATTTGTTTTAAATCCTTTCAACTTTTTTATATATATATATATATATATATTTCCAGTGTAGCTAGGCTGTCTGAACACTGACAGGATCAGCCTGAAAGCCTGAGGGAATTGAGTTTGAATTTCAGGAATTGACAGTGATAATATTGAATCTGGAAATTAATTATTGGAATTCCCTCGACATTTGAATTGAGACTGACCTGGAATTTGAATTAAATGAACTTCCAGGGAGAAGGAATTGAATTAGAATTGAATTTGTGGAATTAAAAAAAATCAAACCTAAGTACTAGTACTTTTTGGACATTAACCTCAAAAGAAGAAAAGTATAATTCAAGACACCTCAGAATTAATTTTCTTTTTCACAAAGGTTTATTGACTTACAGAAGTGTTGACAGTTTGGTGTTGGTCTTGTTTGTGTACATGAAACAGTGCTTCAATCCTTTCCATGATTTTGGTAAATTAGAATAGAAAAAAACAGCCATTGCTCAAAGTATTGCTATGGTCTAAGTCTAACAGCTCAAGTGTAAACTAGAGACTCAGTTGTTGCATCTCAAATGACACCCTATTCCCTTAGTGCACTACTTTTCACTAGAGCCCTATAAAAAAGTAGAGCACTATAACATGGGGGGGGAGGGGGGGGGGGGGGGGGGTCATTTGAGGCTTGCCCTGTGTATGTGGTCAAACATAAACATTCAGTAAAGCTGGTTTCATCTCCTCTAAACAGTGTCTATCCTACCTAGCAACAACCCTACCAGATCAGATCAGCAAGTCCCCTAACATGTCAAAAAGGCACTTTTAAAGCTGTTTTTGTGTCTGTTTTTGTTGTTTTACTCACATAAACAACAGAAATATCCCATTTTGCTTTCGCCTTGTCCCCCGACAGTGTATTCTTCCCCAGTACGCTGCTAACTATTTTCTCTTCTCAATAGAGACATGCTATGTGATGTTCACTCCAAGTCATCATGGTTCTGGGTGGACTCATTGATCACCTGATGGAGGAGAGGAAGGGAGGTTATAGTCAGTATGGCAACACTTTACTTGCAGCTTACAGGTATAATGCATGTGCCTTTATGATGTCTTCGTATCAGGCTTCAGTGGACTTGTGTCGCTACCATGAAAGTCAAATTGACAGACTTCACAAACTCTGACTTCACTAATGTTATGGATTCTTAATTCTATAGACTTAAATGAAGTCTAGTACTTACATGACCATCTCTAGTTTCAATGGTCTTGATCACAACCTTCTTTGACAGGTTCTCAATCATTGGTCTAGCCTCCAGCATGGATTCTGCAATAAGACAAAATATTGAATAGAGTGCAACCGGGATACAATGATATTAAATGTTCCACTCACAATACAACAACACATGATTAACCGTCCTAATCAAATCAGTAACTGAATTGTTACATACTGTTGTATACAACCTTTATGTCGCCATATAAAATCAGTATAAGCGGTTACATTCCATTACATGATTTCTCTTTGAGAAGGACTTTCAGAGTCCCAACTATCAATAATTATAAGGCTCAGCTGCATCACTCCGAGGTTATATGAGGATAATTCTGCTGGTTCTCTGGTGAAGTTGTCAAGCTAGTGTTCAGGATATCCTCATGAGTAATGCGTTTCCACAGGAGGTAGTGCTCTGTTTTATAGCTTTATCAAAATGGAACCTACCTCTCAGGTTAAATGATGAGAAGTTGGGCATGGGAGTGGTGATTCTAAGAGTGAGAAAGAGAGGGGGGGAGGAGAGAAGGAAAAGCGCATTAGACACAGCTAGACGTCTGAGGTTTTGAGTAACTGGCATGCAAACCACAGATACACTAATCTTCCTTACAGGCCCATTTAATACGCTTATCTACAGTCCAGAGGAGAACACAAGATAAAACCTGTTTGTTTCAGTATTGACTCATCAGTCTCTTGTATAAACTACCATAAACATCAAAAGACACTTATAGTACACAAACACACAGGCAAATTATATATATATATACATACATACACTCCCCCTCATGTGCACCCGCTCTCATTAACTCTACTTCCTCTCCTCTCTCTTTCCAATTCCTCTCTGTTTATATCACGTGCTCCCTTCTCCCTCCAGCAGCTTGTGGTAGGTATCTATCTCCATGTCCATCACCATCATGACCTCACCTGCTCTCCTCTCCCTCCAGCAGCTTCCTGTAGGTGGCGATCTCTATGTCCAGGGCCATCTTGACGTTGAGCAGGTCCTGGTACTCTCTGAGGTGACGGGCCATCTCATCCTTCATGTTCCTGATGTCGTCCTCCAGGCGAGCGATGGTGTCCTGGAAGTTATTAGCCTCGCAGCCAAAGCTCTCCTCCAGCTCCCTCATCTGACGCTCCAGGGACTCATTCTACACATCATAGGTTGATAAGAAGAGATTACTCATTGTTTCAGGTTAAATTATGCTCTCATATAGGTTGCCCTGAGATGTGGCTGTAGGAGTCTAAGCAAATATATAGAAGAGACTGGGAGGGACTTGCTCTACCAAGAGCAAGAAGACACAGGTCATTGTCTGGGGTAAAGGGATGCTACACAGTAGTACATTTAGAAATTCTCTGCAAAGACACTTCCAGAAATTCTGTTAACATTGTATTTGCATCTGGGTTGTTAAATCAAGTCTTGGGAGGACACCAGAATGCACTCAGTCAGCTGAGGTTGTTTTGCTAGTCTATTTTTGGTGTTCAACCACTAATTTCATTAAAGTTGCATTTCATCTGACTCAGCACAGGAGATGTTCTGCTGGTACTTTTCACTCTAGTAGTACACTATATTTCCTCTGTAGTGAGACGTAGGGTTTGCTGGAGACTCACTATCGAGGCCCTTTGCTCCACTAGGAGCTGAAAGGAATAAGTCAAGAAAGGAAGTGAACAGGGATAGTGGTTGCACAGGAGGTACTTACAGTTCCTTTGAGAGAGTCCACCTCACAGGTTAGGGCCTGTACCTGACGCCTGTACTCGTTAGCCTCCTGCTTGGCCTGGCGGATGGCATCGGTGTTACGGGTCGCAGCCTCCGACAGGTCAGCAAACTGAGAGGGGGGAGGGAGAGATATAAAGAAAGATATATGGGTGGGGCAGAGAGAGGGCAGAGGCCTTGTTAGTTATCATTAAAGAGATTAAAAGGCTTTTTAATTAGCCTTAATTGATGTGGGGGAGTCTGAGAGGCAAAGGGATAGACAGAAGGTGAGTGAGCAAGAGAGAGAGGGACTTGCATGAGAAAACTCTGCTCTACTCCTGAACCCTGAGATTAAAAGCTGAACGCTCAGCCTTTCTTTTCTCACCCTGGCTGTAAGCCCAGACGTTTAGCCTTTCTTAACTCAACACACAGGCAATTTGTATCTCTCGCTCTCTGCAAACACTTTTACAGCATTAGAGAAACCACTTTGTATGACTTTTTATCCAATATCCATTGTCCTCAAATGTCTCCATTTAGTTTTCCATCGAGAAGATCAATTTATTTTGAGCAAGGCACTCTGCGGTCACTCACAGACCATTGTCATTGACTCTGAGCGGTCAGCTGTCTACTCAATCCACTGAGCCCTACAGCACCATCTGGCCTGTTAGGAGACTGAAAAGCTAATCCTATAGGGAATAGCCCTGCTGGACACGTCTACTCGGTCATCCCTAGAGAGAGATCACTGCTAGAACCGCACACTAGAACTGCTATTGTGCTTTGTCATGGTAGGACAGCTTTGTCTTCGTAGAACTGTGAACTAATGGGCAATTGCAATCGATCTTCAAAGATTGAAAACCCTGATGGTGTTAGGCTCCATAGCAAGACACTAACCTACTACATCCTCTCAAAGTATCAACTTTCATTGTGATTTGTGACAGACAGGGCCAAAGAGACAAAGCCAGTGTGAAGGATTGAACGACAAGTAGAGGACAGACAGTGTGAGGGGGACACAGATGCATCCCAAATAGCACCCCATTCCCTATATAGTGCACTACTTTTGACCAAAGCCATTTGGGCTGCAGCCATTGTGTGAGTGAGGGGTACGGACCTTTGACTTGTACCAGTCTTCAGACTCCTGGAGGTTCCTGCTGGCCAGGGTCTCGTACTGCACACGCACGTCCCTCAGGGCAGCCGTCAGATCAGGCTTGGCCACGTCCATATCGATCTGAACATGCTGATCCTGGATCTGTGCCTGCAGCTCAGCAACCTCCTACAGAGTAGATAGAGGAGAGAGGGACGGTTACAGCACTGATCTTAGATCTGCAGATCAGAAGGTTACCTCACTGGCTAACGTCCAATAATGTACCGTGGTCACACAGGTGTGTTTGTTACAGTATACTCATGTAGTTGGGTAACTTGAGATATGTTGGTTTACATATTCAGCCATCCCTTCAAATGTGATTTCTCACAAACCATTTTTTAAAAATGGTTTGCTGTTGAACTTCCTGTGTGGGGTAATCCTCCTTGATCTGTGTCGTCGCTCCACCTGCCATGCATTTATCCTCTAGACAGTAATTCCCAGACTTCCGATCCGCTGAGTGTGTGTAATCAACATGGCAATGACTCTGCTGGACAGGCCAATACCGTGATCCTCTCAGGACTTGGTGACGGAGGTGGTGGCTGGACACGGACTGTTCGAACTTGGCACAGGTGGGGGTGTAAGGTTAGATGGACAGACTTAAGTGACAACACCACCGTCAGCTGTATGTCTGTTGGGACGGGTGGGGGGTGTCAGGTGAGACACTTACCTCGTCATGCAGCTTCCTGAGGAAGATGATCTCCTCCTGAAGAGACTCCACCTTCCTCTCCAGGTCCAGACGAGCTAGGGAGGCATTGTCCACATCCTACATCACAGGAAACATTCAGAACAACGTTTTACATCAATCACATTCTATGTTCCCGTACAGTGGCATTGCAGTAAATAGTGGTCCACATCCTCAATACTGAACCACAATGGCATAAATGGTCCTCTGTAGCTCAGTAGGTAGAGCATGGCACTTGCAATGCCAGGATAGTGGGTTCGAACCTGGGACCACCTGTACATAAAATGTTAGGATAAGAGTCTTCTATCTGGCATACGAAGAGTTTCATGCCAAAACGCTATATATTTTCACAAATGTTGGTAAATTAGCTTTCATCCTTTAAAGAAATAGTGAAAAAACAATCTAATCATGGGATGGGGTTGTTCAATGACAGGCATATATTTGTTTGAAATCTATCACTTGATGGTTTCATGTCATTTCAAAATGCTATATCCGCCTCACTCAGAGACATAGGTTTTACAGTCAAATGTAACAATAAAGAAATGTACAAATTATACATTTGACAAATTTTTACAAATGTTTTTTTAATGTATTATTCAATAAAGTCAGTCATTTAGCAGGTGGTCTTCTCCAAAGGGACTTACAGTAAGTTAAGTTATCTTAAGATAGCTAGGTGCGACAACCACAGAGTCACATTTTTCATACATATCTCAAATCTATTACAAATCTGAGAACAGTAATAATTTACACACAGGAAGGTACCCATAAGAAATCATTTCTGATGAAAAAACACAAATGTGTAAAATTGGTAGCTATAGCATTTTGGAAATAAAAACGTAATATCTCATAAAATACTTTAACCCATTTTCCAAATCCAGAGACATGGTCTCCTTACTAGGTCTCAGGTAACTTCTGTATAATGCATTGTATTTGACCCATATATTTTTCACATCCTGATGGCCTGTCAGTGCTGATCATCTTGATCCAAACTCCTAGCTTCCTGTATTGTCACAGCAACACCATGACATTAAATCCCACAGAGAAGCAGTCGTTTACTGTATTTAAAAGCCCTAATGAAGAATACGTGAACAAGCAGCACAGTGTGGCGTAGTTACTGGGGGAAAATAATCAGTCAGGAATCAGATATAAAATCAGCCTCATATGTCAATAAAGCTACATTTTAAAGTATTTCCAGCATAAGAGCTTTGCTGCTGGACACACATACAGATTGCTGGCCTCTGGTCTCAGCTCTGTCTCCGTCTGGCCCGGATCTGGAGAGCCCTTGGTGCCAGCGCCAGATGTACTTGAACAAACACGGTCTCCATTTGTCTGCTGCCTGCCGGCCGACCAGTGCCCTGAGGTCAGTCAGAGCCGCTCACCCACCCCCGCCACTGGTACCGCCCACCCAGACAACAGCTTGCTTTGTCATTTAACCCACAACCCCCCTCTCCATCTCCTCATCAACAGAACAGAAACAATGGCATTGGAGAATCAGCTTTCCTGCCATCATTTCCCCAACTGGGACAAAGCTGTCCATTGAGCTCTGTGTTTAGGACCCAGACACAGTGACTGGCCCGGACCAGACCGGGCCTGGATGGAGGAGAGCTGCTGTGGACATTCCTCTGTTCGGGTCGGACAGTTGTTTCAACAGCTGGGCTCTTGTCACATTATATTTGACAACCTCACCCCACTACGTGTTCCACTGGTAATTCCCCAAGGGGAGAACAAAAGTGATAAAAAAAAGCAATGTAGGCTAGAAAGTGGCATCTTGATGAGGATAAGGTGTATCCCTATTCTTAGAATGATGTATTAGGTTGCGTATACATTATCAGGGAGCTCTACTTGATTTAATGTTCTCTCCGAAACAAAAGTTATATTGCTCATTTGAATGAGACTGCATTCTGAATGGGGAGCCCACTGTGAGGTGTACGAGAAGATCAATAACCACCAAGGTCCGCAGTAACAAAGCCTTCAAAACAGCTCCTTACTGTAATGCCACCAAATGAATGAAAACCAATGGCGATTTGACCTAAATCCCCAAAATACCTTCTCTAAAATGTCTAGAGTAACACTTGAGTAGCCAGCATCAGTGGAAAGGCAGTCATTCTAATGTAAACTGCACACGTTGCGCTCCATGAATGAACAGCAAAAAACACTTCATTTTACTTTATATTTTAACAGGGCATGCCACTGAGACCAACGTCTCTTTTGCGAGGGTGCCCTGCATCTTACAATTACATATAGGATATACACAAGAAGAAAAAAATACTAAAAAGAATACTAAAAAAATAAAAACACACTCGTGTCAAGACTTTGGTCAAATGGAGTTGGTTGCAACACGCCCAACATGGCTGGCTGTTTGACTAGAGATTGACACGAGGTGAAACATCTCTACATGGGACCTACGCAACTTCACCAGGCATGATGTTGATCTTCACATTTCAAAAGACATGCTTTAGTAGGAAAAAACAATCACAAGTATTCAGTATGAAATGAACAGGACTATGTCGTTTACTGTTGATAAATAATTCATAAAAATAGATTGCATAACACAAATAGAATGTTTGTTGTGTTTGCACTTCTTTTAGATGAAGGATGAATAGAATGAAGGAATAATTATGTGAATACCTGTCTGAAGCTCTGCAGGTTGTGCTCCGCTTCCTCTTTCTGGATCATCTCATCCTGGAGCCTGAAAATAGCATTGGAGAGTATTACATAATTCATTTCAAGTGCCACACCCACATTTGGTGAGGAAGTCCTGGAGTAGGGAAGGCTATAGTGCTACTCCTGAGTCCTGACTAATATCACCATAACATCTTGAGTCTTATCTGAGGTTACTTTTACCAATAACTTATACTATTTGAAATCTGCTACAACATTATTATTAGCCATATATGTGCAAGAAAAGGATAATCGTTCCCCTTTCTTTAAAAACAGCCCAAATATTCCAATGGAAAGCTGCCATTGGAAGAATGAGCTCATTTTCAAGTATTTCGTGATTGCATAATATGTTCAGTGCAAAACGTCAACTCCATCCAGGCTTTGAACAAAACAGCTAAATCTTTGACAGGGAAGAGCGCTTAATTGCCCTTAATCTGCATGCAGTTCTGGGGCTGTGGGCTAATGGCTTTACAAAGAACTAAAGCATGCATGGACCGTTGCCAATACATTTTTTTGGGAATGAATGAATTTATTCCAACAAAGGTCTTGTGGAACAAAAAGTGAAAAGGGACGTGTAGTCTCTCTTGGCAGTTTTACGCATTAATTGTTCATATAGTGCTTCTGAGATGGGGGGGTGGGGGGAATTTAGAAAATAAAGTACATTCGTTGCCTACTTTTCTCTGAGCCTCTCGATGTCCTCTCCTAGGTTGTCCCGGTCCACTTCGACATGGGCTTTCTCATTGGTGAGCTGGTCCACCTGCCTCCGCAGATCCCTCATCTCATCCTCGTACAGATCCCCGATGCGGGACGCGCCTTTGCCCTTTAGCTGCTCCAGCTCCGCTAACAGGATCTTGTTTTGCTGCTCTAGAAAGCGCACTTTGTCGATGTAGCTAGCGAACCTGTCGTTGAGGTGCTGCATCTCCGCCTTCTCGTTGGTCCGGTTGGCTTTGAACTCCGAGTTGATGGCATCGGACAGAGCGAAGTCCACCATGTCGGACGAGAGCCGGGGCATAGGGGCGCTGCTGCGGAGTCGGACATTCTTGAAGGCATAGATGCTCGGCGGAGCGGAGGAGACGCTGTAGGACATCCGAGAGGAGCGCACCGGGCTCGAGTACTGGCGGCTAGACAAGGTAGACCGAGCCATCCCGACACCGGGGCGTCCTTCGCCGCCGAACATCCTCTTGTACGAGGATGAAGTGGTGGTTTGCCTGTTGGTTGTCCGGTTCATATTGTAATCCTTTGGTCCCTAAGGTTTCTTCTTTCTTCAAAAACCGGTGTAAATGCTTTCTCTCAAACTGGACTTCCACTTCAGTGTGTGTGATGAACCCTGAACAGTACTGCCCCAGCGAGAACTCTGCAGTAGACCAATGTCGGATTTTATAGTCCACTCCCTTTATGCAAATCACATGGGGGTGTGATTGACGAAGCCCGGAGCCTGTGAAAACACTGGTATGCGCGTTCAGGGCATTGGGCCATCTTCTATTGTGCCGCAGACCCTTTTGTTCGTAAGTTGTTTTTTCCCAGTTGCCATTTGGCAAAAGCCAGAACACATCCACAGAGACACAAAAAGTGTTTACTGATGGCCCTTACATACTGTTTTAAATATAGCCCATAGTAGACTTCGCATGTAAGGCGTGCGGTCGTGACATCTGTTTATTTGTATCTTCTGTTACAACATTTCTTTCAAAAACGGATATTGGTCACATCCTTAACTTATTCATTACAGGGCCCATAATAAACATGATATTTGCATGTGATTGCCAAAAATACAGAATTATGCATGACGTGCAGCCTAAATAAATAATTTATGCAACTATGCTACTGGCTTTTCTTCTACATTTTATATGTATCATTAGGCTACCCACCAACATGTGTCCAACATGAGAGTCAAGGTTGATAAAGAACTGAATGGCACTCAAGTTGACTCCCCCTTCCCCCAACCCATTTTATATGTGTTGCTATGGGAATGTGCATATTTACCTCAAAGACTTGACCCTTCCCTCTGGAGGGTTTTCTAAGTGCACACACACTATAGCCTGAATCTCATCTTCATTTCTTTGTGTTGGGGAAACAAGTTTAGGTTTCATATAGCAACATTTCCTCTTGACATGAAAACTATTAAAGCTGACTGTTTCCTGATACAGAATGTGTCTATTTTAGCAAGGTAGAAAAGTATTTCAGGGAGGTTTTAGGATATAATGTAGGCTTAATTAGATTAAAATACAATAGAACAGAATATAATAGAAAATCACACATTTTCAACTAATGACATTACAGTTTATTACAGATTTATAAACCGCATGTAGCCTTATATAATTAACAGCCTAACTATTTACACAGTCTTACAGATAATGTCTATGCAATTTCCACAGTACGCATTTAAGTGCGCCTGCGGAAATGTAATCTCCGGAACCTTTCTTTTAGTACTCTACTCTGATCGGAAACGCACCAGCAACACGTTATCTTGTTTACAATGTGCATGCTGTCAAACCCAGATAGCTCTACCAGGGACCAAACATGGAACATCTCAGAGTACTAGAATTGTACAGCGGTATCGGAGGAATGCATTATGCATTAACAGGTATGTGAAATATATAGCTAGTCACTTGTGAGTCTGACTGTGTTTTTGTGTCCAAGCATGCTATAAATTGGCTAGCCGCGTCTGCTAACGATAGCAAGTGAATGGTTTTCTTACTGATGATAGCTAGCTAGCTACAGAAGCTAGCTAGCGTTACCTTGTTCTTAATTGGAGAGCAAATACTTAGCTATTGTTTGCAAAGATGACTGGAAATTGATTTGTAGCTAGTTTCTCGCCTAGTTAATCTCGTTAATTTGTCAAAATTTTCGCTCATGCGCAATTAACAAGGTTAATTGCTCCTGTCCAGCCAACTAAGCCTTTTGCATTCCAATAATATCTCCTTTCTCTTGAAGTGTGCACTCGTTCACTACTCCCCACAAATCTTAAAGCATTGGATTGGTGGAGGCATAGCTGACAGTTTCAACTGTGGAGTGGAGTTTAGTTCGTTAGTGGAAGCATGGCTAGCGGGAATTTCTACCATATTTCTTATACCAGTCATTTCCTTTCAATTCAGTGAAAGGAAGTGAACAAGTGTACACTTTGCTCAGGCAGTGACGTTCATTTGGAATGCTCAGGTTGACGCAGCCTGTCATACTTTGGCTTTCAACAGGTGTCACTGTCGCTATTCATAAAGTCTATGGGACAATACCTGTTGATCATTAGCTACCAGGCTCATTAGCAAACCACTAGACCATAGTGCCTACTGTTGTGTATAAGTTAGCTGTCTATCTTTTCATGTTGATGAACACTCCTATTTCTTTCTCTGTGCAGAGAGTGGTGTGGCAGCAGAGGTGGTAGCTGCAGTGGATGTGAACACCACAGCCAATGAGATCTACAAACACAACTTCCCCAACACGCCTTTACTTCCCAAGACCATAGAGGTGAGCACTCTTAGACCTGTCATTGAGGTCCTGGGTTCAAAAGAGTTGCCATACTGCATTCTTAACCAGCAGGCTATATTTCAGGGGCACACTTCACCAAAGGAAATAACCAATTTTAACTGAAATTGTCAGCTCATGTTAACTTGTAAGAAGGTCACATATACCTGTACTTTGAGAGACATTCAGACATTCAAAGTACCAAGGCTAAAACTAAAGGATATGAAAAGTCTCTCAAACAACCAGAGATTTTAGGTTAAAGAGATTATCCGGTACATTTTTATACTTTTTAGCCAAACGTTCTGAAATTAGCCTCACGATCCAAAGGTGGTCCCTGAAAATGGCGTACTACTTCACATATGTGCAGATATGTGCACCACATCAATGCTCTCTCTCTCGCTCTGCTGTGTGTGCATCTTGCTACCAGTCACTCAAATGGTGAGGGGCTGATGATCATTGCCTAGAATTTGAATTGCTAGGGGGCTGGCCCACATGGGGGAAAAGGTAGGGTTGTCTGCTCTGTCAGCATCCAGTCAGTCATGATGCACAACTTGCACTGTCTTCCTAACAGGATAGAATATTCATGCAGTTATAGGTCTATGCATCACTCTCTTCAAATTAGCCCTGAAAAAATGTAGGGAAAATGGCACAGCTTCCAGAAAAGCAGTTGCTTTCAAACTATGGATTACGTGGCTAATTGAGGCAAGACAGTAATTCTGCTCATAAATTATGAACTACACATTGACACATTCAGCCCAAAGCGGGAGGTTTAAAAAATACTTAGTAGTCGCCAAAGTTCCAGAACATGTCTTTAATCTCTAGCATTAACCTTCTAAATTGTGTGTATTTGTTACAAAAGGAAGCACTTTGCTGACATGTGCAGATCATTGTCATTTCAGTGTAATTATCCTGAGATGAGTTTAAGTGATCTTTGACCTGGATAATAGAAACCAACATGGAATTTTTATTTAACGCTCAGTGTTATTCTTGCCAATTAGCCTAGTCCTCATACAAGAGTAGCTGTTATTGACACAAGATTGTTAATTTGGATAAATATGCTTTATTATGAAATGAATGCCTTTTGTGTCCATTTGATATTTTAAGTAGAAATTGTGCACAAATATTGCATTTTAAAAGCCTGTTATATTAAATGAAGTGTCCTTTTAATATAGACCATATGGATAATTCAATTAATCAGATTTGTTATATAAATATAGACTTGCTAAAGTGCCAATATTCTGCCTTTTCACATGGCCCTCTGTGCACCCTCTGTTACTTCTAGGAAGATTTGAACCCACTTAATCCCAACATTTCTCCATGTTTTCAACATTGTAAAGCCGTGGTTATTTTGTTGTTTTGACAGTCATTTATGAATATTAATATTTAGGCTATTTCATGTGATTAGTCTAGTGATTCATTTACGTCTGTCCCTAATTTTAAGGTCAACCTTGTTACGTGAACTGAACTCTCTTTTTAATATGGAAACTATTCCTTAAATACAATTCTAAAGAAACATTGAACATCTAATACTCAAATCATAGTGTAAAACAGTTGAGCTGGTTCTACTCTTTTTGGCAATTTGCTGTTGTTTTGTGCTGGATAACTGAGCGGGTCAAGCATAACACATCAACCATGTTACGCATAGATAGACAGGCTAGAAATGTTTTAACGTTTATTTTTTTTTTGTGAAGCTTGCATTCAATTGCCACTTCCTGCCCAAGCTTCCATTCCCCCTGTCACAAGGGGATTTATGGCTGATTTATGATGAAATCGTCAAACCTGTTACGGTCAACCCTGTTTTACTTTATTTGGCACTTAATAGGCACTTACTATAGTCATTCTTTATTTAACTACTTGAGATGGGAAAATATGTTTTTTATGATGTTAAACATGTGCTCTTTATTACAGAATGTTAAAATTATGTGATATCAAACAGTTTTATTTGTTACACTTCTCAAAAGGTACCGATTTGGTGGAAGACCCATTGAGATATATTGGGCCTACTCCTTTAGTGTTGCACACGTTCCATAATCTAGGATGTATTTGTTTATTTTGCTTTTCCCCACATAATCCCATGACTTATGTTTTAATAGGCTGTTTGAGGTAAAATAGTAACTGAGGAGCAGGTTAAGTGAGGGGTAAAGGTTGTCTGCTCTGTCAGCATCCAGTCAGTCATGGTGCACAACTTGCACTGTCTTCCTAACAGGATAGACTATTCATGCAGTTATAGGTCTATGCGTCACTCTCTTCAAATTAGCCCAGAGTTTCAGTGAAAGCAGAAGGGCAATTCCATGGTAACGTAATTATGCTGAGACGATTTTTCCCTTTAAAATGTATACCAAACAAAAAACATTAATTTTAAAGTTTAACAAACCATAGAACTCTATGCACAATGACTATTTTTAACACATTTTTACAAATAAAGTAATGTGCAGATACAAAGTTTGGTAAAAAAAAATGTTTAACCGTAATTCTGTTACCAAACTTTGCATCTGAATTTACTGTGTACATTTTCAAAGTAGGCCTAGTCATTTTGCATATAGTTCTATGGTTTGTTAATCAATGTTTTTTGTTTGGCATACATTATTTTAAAGTGACTAGGCCTACTTCCCTTACCGTAGAATTGCCCAGATGTAAATAGAAATTATGTTGTTGTAGTGTTTTAAATCCAGGGACATAACCTAACCCGAAGACAATATAAAGGCTCATAAGCCTGCATGCTTATAACACATTAAACAGCAGTATACCTGCAGGCTTTTATTGGTTGTGAAAAGATGAGAGATTAATGTTATGGGCATACCACTGAGGGGTAATGGTTACACACAGACCTACACTGAGTAGGTTTCCATGACATAGACTGACCAGGTAAAAGCTATGATCCCTTATTGATGTCACTTCAATCAGTGTAGATGAAGGGGAGGAGACAAGTTAAATAAATAATTATTTTTAAGCCTTGAGACAATTGAGACATGGATTGTGTATGTGTGCTATTCAGATGTTGAATGAGCAAGACAAAAGATTTAGGCTAAGTGCCTTTGAACGGGTTATGGTTGTAGGTGCCAGGCGCACCGGTTTGTGTCAAGAACTGCAACGCTGCCGGGTTTTTCACTGTCAATAGTTTCCTGTGTGTATCAAGAATGGTCCACCACCCAAAGGACATCCAGACAACTTGATACAACTGTGGGAAGCATTGGAGTCAACATGGGACAGCATCCCTGTGGAACGCCTTTGACACCTTATAGAGTCCATGCCGTGACGAATTGAGGCTGTTCTGAGGGCAAAAGAGGGGTGCAACTCAATATTAGGAAGGTGTTCTTAATGTTTTGTACACTCAGTATATATTGTTGCTCTCATAATCACAGGCTTATATACAGTAGCTATGGCTTACATAGAAAGCTATCAATCAGTCATAATGTCATAGCACAATCACAGTTTTAAGTAGAAGATGAAATGCTGTTTTCTTATGTGTTTTTATTTATTTTAATTTTTAATCTGTCACTTTATGTAGCTTAAATCAAAGTAATTTTGTTTGGTTTCAGGGAATGACATTGGATGATTTCAACAAATTGGCGTTTGATATGATCTTGATGAGCCCTCCATGTCAACCTTTCACTAGGTATGTGCCTGTGTGTGTACGCGTACACATGTGCCTAAGATCTGGTGTTAGCATTTAAAGATTATCTGAGTTAGGTCATAGATGTGTTAAAAAAGGGACACTGCAATCGTCTTCCTCTCTGTAGGATTGGGTTACAAGGTGACGTAACTGACCCCAGAACCAAGAGCTTTCTCTACATCCTTGACCTTCTACCAAGGTCAGACACATACATTTACACTCCCTATTCATCTTTCCAGTTGGTCTCTCTTTCCAGTGCCTTGGTTGTTTTCTAGGTAGCTACTCTGTTTTGACCTATTTCTAGCCATAGGATTGAAGTTCATTCAGTCTTTTCCTCCACTGTAGTTACTCAGTTTCCCCTATTTGTTACCTAGCTAGTAGCTATTTCTGGAGTCATTGATTCAGTTCCAGGTCACTGAAACCATTGTTCTACACCATCATGACCATGTCATTTTCTTACTCATTACATTCTGTTTATAGATAGACTGATGTAATATCCTGTTGCATATTGCACATTCAGAAAGTGTAAGAATATTGCCATCAATATGAATTCACCTCTCTGAATTATGTTAGTTTTTTTATGAATAAAGACATGCTGTGTGGTTTGACCCTCTTCTCTCCCTGTAGGCTCAGCAAGTTGCCGCGCTTCATTCTGCTGGAGAACGTGAAAGGCTTTGAGACGTCCTCCGCCAGGTAACCATGGAGATGGGAGTCCCCTGCTCTGGAAGGTCACTATGGTTACCCTGTTGGCAGCCAATGCGGTTTTGGGACAGGCTGTGTGTTTAGCCTGTCTCTGTCACTGTGGATCTGATCTGTGTACAGAACTTTCTCTGAGCACTAGACAGCCCACTTCTCTACTAAGTCCTGTAGGCCTATATATTTTTCAGCTAAATGCAATTTTTTTGATTTCGTTTACCACATAATTTCTCTAAAGCCCCTTTACTTTTCAACTGTCATGTACAGTGCATTTACTGCAGTCTTATAACAAATATGATATACCATTTTCTGTGAGATGGCTAAATGTATGCCAAGAGTGATGTCTGAATAGTATTTTCTACTCTGCCTAGGGACTCTTTGGTGAAAACGCTAAAGGAATGTGGATATAACTATCAGGAGCTCATGGTTTCTCCTACATGTGTAAGACATCACGTTTCTTTACATTACAGCAGCATAGTGAGCTTACACATCTTCTAGATTCTAACTGTCTCTATCTCTGTTCACAGCTGGGGATGCCCAACTCCAGACTCCGGTATTTCATGATTGCCAAAGCACCACCAGGATCTTTCTCCTTCCACACCACTTCAGCGGTGGGGCCCAGTCACCTTAACATCAATCTCTATTATGTTATGGATATGATGTACCTAACTACATGTAATGATGTCTACTTTGCATTCCTGAAGGAGAATGGCTCCATACACTTTGTGGGCAAAATTGTCTTCATATACATTTTGTAGACAACATCCTGGTTTTATGTATTTGTCACAACCAAGTAAACAATGTGAGGTAAACGTATTTCCTCCCATGACCAGATCCAGGAAGGTTTCCCGCACCCTGCAGACAAGGTCTTATTAGAGCCCAGTTCTCCAATCTCACCTAGTCCCACTACAACCACCTGCCAAAAGGACGATCACAAGGAAGATGAAGGTGGTATCCTGTACAAGCTGGAGCGGGCCCAGGATGCTGAGAGGAAGAGCAGTCAGAACAGAGACCCGTCCCTCAGACAGATCAGGGCCTACCTGGAGGACCAGGGAGAAGGGGAGATGGAGCAGTACCTCCTTCCTCCTAAGACCTTGCTGCGCTACGCTCTGCTCATGGATATAGTCAGGCCCACCTGCAGGAGATCTGTCTGCTTCACCAAAGGGTATGGCATCAAGCAGCAATGGAGCATAGACACAGTAGGGTTTTTTCTGGATCAAAAAGGGGCCTAAGTGGTGGGCGTGGCAGGGGCGTGGTCGGCCTATCGGTGCGGCTGAATTTCAGATAAAATGTTGCAGTTCTAAAGGTAGCTTAGTGATATGACGTAGATGCAGAAAGTAAACAGCATAGTGGGTCAATTTCTAAGAGCGTTGAAGTACGAGGCTCAACTTCTCTGCTTTTGGTCTTGTGGCTCCCTCTCTGTAAGAGTGTGAAGCGAACCCGTGCACATGCATCTCAATATCTGCAGTTCTGCTCGTGGCAACGTCATTTCGCTGAGTCTACTGCTAAAGCTAATTCCCTGTAGTTCTATGCATTTTGCCATGGCTAATGCTGTTCTTTTGCTCAAACATAACAAAATATATACTGCTAAATTCATTTTTTGGGGAATTTTCAATTCTCCCTGACTGTCTAGCTTTTATTTTGGTAATTGTTAGTTTTCAAAGTTTGTTATAAAATAATATATATAGGTCCATTTATCTTTTCTAAATACTTCATATCTGGTTTTAGTTGTTTAATTTGACACTGAAAGCGTTTTTCCCTCCCAATGTTTTATTAATTTATTTTTAAATATATGATATATAATAATATTATTATTATTATTATATATATATATATATACAGTTGAAGTCGGAAGTTTACATACACTTAGGTTGGAGTCATTAAAACTCGTTTTTCAACCACTCCACAAATTTCTTGTTAACAAACTATTGTTTTGGCAAGTCGGTTAGGACATCTACTTTGTGCATGATACAAGTAATTTTTCCAACAATTGTTTACAGACAGATTATTTCACTTATAATTCACTGTATCACAATTCCAGTGGGTCAGAAGTTTACATACACTAAGTTGACTGTGCCTTTAAACAGCTTGGAAAATTCCAGAAAATGATGTCATGGCTATAGAAGCTTCTGATAGGCTAATTGACAGCATTTGAGCATTTGTGGTCCTCTGTAGCTCAATTGGTAGAGCATGGCGCTTGTAATGCCAGGGTAGTGGGTTCGATCCCCGGGACCACCCATACGTAAAAATGTATTCACACATGACTGTAAGTCGCTTTGGATAAAAGCGTCTGCTAAATGGCATATTATATTATTATTATTATTATTATTATTATATTATATTAATTGGAGATGTACCTGTGGATGTATTTCAAGGCCTACCTTCAAACTCAGTGCCTCTTTGCTTGACATCATGGGAAAATCAAAATAAATCAGCCAAGACCTCAGAAAAAAAATGGTAGACCTCCACAAGTCTGGTTCATCCTTGGGAGCAATTTCCAAACGCCTGAAGTTACCACGTTCATCTGTACAAACAATAGTACGCAAGTATAAACACCATGGGACCACAAATCAATCCCAAAACAACAGCAAGAACCTTGTGAAGCTGCTGGAGGAAACAGGTACAAAAGTATCTATATCCACAATAAAACGAGTCCTATATCGACATAACCTGAAAGGCTGCTCAGCAAGGAAGAAGCCACTGCTCCAAAACCGCCATAAAAAAGCCAGACTACGGTTTGCAACTGCACATGGGAACAAAGATAGTACTTTTTGGAGAAATGTCCTCTGGTCTGATGAAACAAAAATATAACTATTTGGCCATTATGACCATCGTTATGTTTGGAGGAAAAAGGGGGTTGCTTGCAAGCCGAAGAACACCATCCCAACCGTGAAGCACGGGGGTGGCAGCATCATGCTGTGGGGGTGCTTTGCTGCAGGAGGGACTGGTGCACTTCACAAAATAGATGCCATCATGAGGAAGGAAAATGATGTGGATATATTGAAGCAACATCTCAAGACATCAGTCAGGAAGTTAAAGCTTGGTCGCAAATGGATCTTCCAAATGGATAATGACCCCAAGCATATTCCCAAAGTTGTGGCAAAATGGCTTAAGGACAACAAAGTCAAGGTATTGGAGTGGCCATCCCAAAGCCCTGACCTCAATCCTATAGAAAATGTGTGGGCAGAACTGAAAAAGCGTGTGCGAGCAAGGAGGCCTACAAACCTGACTCAGTTACACCAGCTCTGTCAGGAGGAATGGGCCAAAATTCACCCAACTTATTGTGGGAAGCTTGTGGAAGGTTACCTGACACGTTTGACCCAAGTTAAACATTTTAAAGGAAATGCTACCAAATACTAATTGAGTGTATGTAAACTTCTGAACCACTGAGAATGTGATGAAAGAAATACAAGCTGAAATAAATAATTCTCTCTACTATTATTCTGACATTTCACATTCTTAAAATAAAGTGGGGATCCTAACTGACCTAAGACAGGGAATTTTTACTACGATTAAATGTCAGGAATTGTGAAAAACTGAGTTTAAATGTATTTGGCTAAGGTGTATGTAAACATCCGACTTCAACTGTATATATTTCACACTGTTTGGACTTAGGCGACCCCAAAAAAACAAATTTCAATGGCAGAAAAACCCCTAAAAACCCTAAACAGTATAGAGTAGCACAGCTTTACATCATACTCTCACCTAATCTAGCCTGGTATACCATGCATTTGACCCTATATGTTTTCATTTGTTGGTATCGTTCTTGTGTAAACTTCAGTATTTGCTGATTTTGTGTTCCCTATTTTTCCACAGCTATGGACACTACGTTGAGGGAACAGGCTCTGTGCTTCAGTCCTGTATGGAAACAGATGTAGGTTTTGACCTTACGACCTTACACATGCCACACGTGTCTTCTAATAGATCACTTAGCCAGCTTATGTATACGTACACCCTCGCAATGTCTAGGAGGTCTTAGACCTGCCTAGCTGCTCCATTACCTGTCTCAAAGTGTACATTTAACGTGACAGTAAGCAGATGCGAGCAGGGTGTTGGCTGCATGTGCCTAGGAGAACAGGGCGAGCTCTATCCTGACAGATATGTTCTTTGTTTGTGTTTCCCCTCAGTTGGAAGCAGCGTTTAAATCTCTGGAGCGTCTGTCTGAGGAGGAGAAACTACAGCAGCTGTCCAGGTTGAAGCTCCGCTACTTCTCCCCTAGAGAGATAGCCAACCTCATGGGCTTCCCCAAGCACTTCAGTGAGTCATTCATATCCATTAGCCCATAACGTAGGACCTCTATTTGATTAGTTAGTTCATCAAGTTAATCAAGACCAAGAATAAATCCAATCAAATGCAGTACAAAACTCCATAAATCATAGGCCTTATACTGTAGGCCATGTGAGGACTTTCCTCACTGAGTTATACAATTAAAACTAGCATGCAGCCTACAGTAGTTCATTAGTTGAGTTGTCGTCACAGCAAACACAGCACATGCCTAGTCTTACGCACTTGCTCCATGTAACCATGTTAGTTACGGTGAGTGCTAAGCCTAGTTAGCTGCAGTGTTTTTCTATACAAAGGATTTAGCGTAAGGAGCTTTCTGGGTGGGTGATATAATGAGAGTGAGTAGAGGACGTAGGAAGCAGGCCAAGATAACAAGATGAGAGGGGCCAGAGAGTAAGGGCCTGCGGGTGACAAGAGAAGGGATCTTAATACTAAGCTAACAAATTGAATTGTTTTAAGATGGTCATACCATGGATCATTTAGCTATTTGATTTAGAATTTTGGGACCCCTTTAGGTATAAAAAATATAGATTTTTTTGGGACAGATAAAATATTGAATTTGGCCTTTACTACAATAGCCCATAGAAACGCATCGACTAAGACATTCATAATTGGCTAAAAAGACAGTCAAAAAATAAATAAGGTTTTGAAGTGTCTGTCCTATATCTAGGAGATATAAGAACGCTCAGGAAATATATAATCTATTTTGTACACATACAGTGCATTCGGAAAGTATTCAGACCCCTTGACTTTTTCCACATTTTGTTATGTTACAGCCTTATTCTAAAATTGATTAAATTGTCCCAATCTACACACAAAACCCATAATGACAAAGCAAAAACAGTTTTTATAAATTTTTGCAAATTAATAAAAAATAAAAAACGGAAATATAAGTACACATTTACATAAGTATTCAGACCCTTTACTCAGTACTTTGTTGAAGCACCTTTGGCAGCGATTACAGCCGCAAGTCTTCTTGGGTATGACGCTACAAGCTTGGCAAACCTGTATTTGGGGAGTTTCTCCCATTCTTCTCTGCAGAACCTCTCAAGCTATGTCAGGTTGGATGGGGAGCGTTGCTGCACAGCTATTTTCAGGTCTCTCCAGAGATGTTAGATCGGGTTCAAGTCCGAGCTCTGGCTGGGCCTCTCAAGGACATTCAGATACTTGCCCGGAAGCCACTCCTGCGTTGTCTTGGCTGTGTGCTTAGGGTCATTGTCCTGTTGGAAGGTGAACCTTCCCCCCAGTCTGAGGTCCTAAGCACTCTGGAGCAGGTTTTTATCAAGGATCTCTCTACACTTTGCTCCGTTTATCTTTCCCTCGATCCTGACTAGTCTCCCAGTCCCTGCCGCTGAAAAACGTCCCCACAGCATGATGCTGCCACCACCATGCTTCACCGTAGGGATGGTGCCAGGTTTCCTCCAGACGTGATGCTTGGCATTCAGGCCAAAGAGTTCGATCTTGGTTTCATCAGAACAGAGAATCTTGTTTCTCATGGTCTGAGAGTCCTTTAGGTGCCTTTTGGCAAACTCCAAGTAGGTTGTCATGTGCCTTTTACTGAGGAGTGGCTTCCGTCTGGCCACTCTACCATAAAGGCCAGATTGGTGGAGTGCTGCAGAGATGGTTTTCCTTCTGGAAGGTTCTCCCATCTCCACAGAGGAACGCTGGAGCTCTGTCAGAGTGACCGTCGGGTTCTTGGTCACCTCCCTGACCAAGGCCCTTCACCCCCGATTGTTAAGTTTGGCCTGGCGGCCAGCTCTAGGAAGAGTTTTGGTGGTTCTAAACTTCTTCCATTTAAGAATGATGGAGGCCACTGTGTTCTTGGGGACCTTCAATGCAGCAGGAATGTTTTGGTACCCTTCCCCAGATCTGTGCCTCGACACAATCCTGTCTCTGAGCTCTGTGGACAATTCCTTCGACCTCATGCCTTGGTTTTTGCTCTGACATACACTGTCAAGTGTGGGACCTTATATAGACAGATATGTGCCTTTCCAAATTATGTCCAATCAATTGAATGTACCACAAGTGGACTCCAATCAAGTTGTAGAAACATCTCAAGGATGATCAATGGAAACAGGATGCACCTGAGCTCAATTTAGAGTCTCATAGCAAAGGGTCTAAATACTTATTTAAATAAGGTACTTCTGTTTTTAAGTTTTTTAATACATTTGCAAAAATGTATAAAAAACCAGTTTTTGCTTTGTCATTATGGGGTATTGTGTGTAGATTGATGAGGACAATTTTTATTTAATCAATTTCAGAATAAGGCTGTAACATAACAAAATGTGGAAAAATTGAAGGGGTATGAATACTTTCCGAATGCACTGTATTTAAGACCTTGTTTTTGTTGGCACAATACTACTTCCATTCATTTGTATGGGTTACCTTCAGACGAGTCCCATGACACTTGGGGGTCGTAGACAAAACGGAGAGAGTCACCCCTGTTAATGAGAATCACCCCTTTCCGTAGAGTGGTTCTAAAAGTTTTTTAGGCCAAACCATTCGGACACTGCAGACGTTTTCGTCAGAAAACCGATTTTCGGGGTGTCTCATGGTCTGACAAACATAGCTGTAGCTCGGCCACCTTCCACCACAGATGCGGAAGACCGACATAGGCGGATGCGGTGGATTGAGACGCAGCCCATGCAAAAAAACTGATATTTTTAGCTTAAACTGACAGATTTTGATGGGGATTTTTGTATTATGTTACTTAGGTGTGTCAATTGACTCTTAAGGATTTTAATGAGGTATGGACATTCTCATACAACTGTTTAGTCTCTTGACAATGTTGGGAAAAACTAACCTGGAAATCAGTATATGTTTAGTCTTGTTCATAGGATAATATGTGATGTAATGATTTTGTGTTGTTTTTCTTGCAGATATCCCAAAGAACATCTCCACCAAGCAGCAGTACCGAGTCCTGGGGAATAGCCTGAACGTACATGTGGTTGCCCGGCTCATAGAACTCTTGGTATCCTAACCAGGTGTATACAACTCATGGTATCCTAACCCAAAATACATTCTGCCTAGGGGAAAATACTGTTTTCCAGTTTATATCTGTGTTATAACTGTGCTACTAGTGAGATAATGTAGCCACAGTCTGTCTGTCCTAGAGTCCACAGTTGGGCCAGAGGGACAAGTTACATACTGTATTTATTGTATAAACGATGTGCTACACGACATGGATTGGAATCATGGAATCATGGAATCAACCTCTGCAGATGCCTTTGCTTTTTTCATTTCAATTTCAAATCTGCTAACTGAATTAAATAAAACTTTTTTTTTGCTATATTCTTTTGTTCTTATTTTCTGAACTTGTATGTATTATGATGGATCTTCTTTTTGGCAGTAATTATGAATATGATTTGAGCCTTCCTCGTCAAATATTAATGTTTATCAAGGAAGTTCAAAAACTTTTGAAATCTTTTATAGATGGGAAACACTGCTCAACTCATTTGGACTGTACAGTGGACCATACACACATTTGAACCATACACTAAGAAAGAAGCTTCAAACATCCAGGTCCCTGCATGTGTTACTGTTAGCGAACTAATGTTCACCCCAGCATAGTCCCTAACCTAACCTCTGGTTACTCATCTCTTAAAGCATGTGATGGCTCGTGTCAATCACCCAATAAAAGGACATAACCGGTATGTAATTGTGTTTAAAACACTCCCCCCCCCATCGTTGGGTAAGTTTGGGTGTTTTATGGTTCTATGTGGCTGCCTATGCCTTCTCCCAGAAGAAGACCAGTGGGGACAAAGTGCACCCCTGTCCTCCCCTGTCCCTTTCTAGGGGCATTAGAGTGTTGCATCAGGTCAGTACCGCAGTATAGTGTCTGAAGAGAGTGCCCAGGGACCAGACTCTCTCTCAGCATGGCTCGGATACAGCAGCTCTCCTGGTTGCTCCTCTGCCTCCTCTTCCTGGTTGGACTAGAGTGTGACCAAGGGGAGCACGCCGCCCAAGGACCACGCAGCAAGAGGGACATCAGTAATGAACAGTGAGTTTGGTGATGATTTGTGGTTATAGTTTTTTTGATCTGCAAGAATGCAGTGTCTGCTAAAAACAGTTGTGTGATGTAATAATATTATCTTAATAGTGATTGAATTTGTTACATGATATTTTCCTAAACTTAATTTTTACCCTTTGCAATAATGTGAAGTTATCTGGAAATATCTTCGCTTCAGTCAAGCAACTCTGACCTTCAAAGCTCAACCAAGCATCACCTCCAAAAGTTGAATTTAATCTATTGCTATTGGAGAATAAGCCATCTTTTGTCATCGAAATCATTAATCAAAATGTAAAATATAAATGAACAGCGTTTAGTACCTAACCTACATGCTATATCATATTTTCTGTATAGTGTTGCGTGTTGTATAAACAATTAAAATGTTGATACATTGAATCTGTCCCCATGTAAAATAATGATTTAAATACTTTTCTGATTGTCTTCCCCCTAGGCCACGCATGGTATCAGAGAGCGGTCACCTGGTCTTCTCCACCCATAACAAAGAGATCCGCTTCCAGACCTCCGGGTCAGGCAGTGTCAAAGTGGGAACGGAGGACCTCACTCAGCTGATGAGTCAGGTATGCACACACACGAGACAAAGTCTTAAATGGATAAACATATCCACATTGACAGATGATTTGTAGAAATGTTTTCATGTGTTGTACCGTCTTTTCGAAAAGCATCCGTCTTTGTTACTGTTTTTTTCTAACTAAAATTATAGAAATCATATATAATAATAATAATAATAATAATAATAATAATAATAATGATAATAATATCAGATCAAGTGGTGGATATCACCATGGATATGATAATCATACATTTTCATATCCACTTATCTTGTTCACAAATATGTCCAAAAAGCACATTCTTCAAAATATTCCATCTGTTCAGGACTTTATTATGTCTCGACATCTCTATAAACTAGTGATTTTCACATGATGCTATGAATCATTAACAACTTAGAAAGAGCAGACTCTGCAATTCAACCAGCATTTGACCAAAGATCAAAATACTATTTATTAAAATCAAATTTAATTGTAGCATGGTTATGGTGGGTTTGGAATACTATATAATTATTCAGTAATTACTCTTTAGAAACATCATTTAATAATAGTGAAGAAACATGTAACATCACAACTTCCATACCAAGCCTTCTTTACTTCTTATTTCAGATCAAAACAAACAAAGCTGACATCGACAATATAAAACAAAATGGAGGTGGAACTTCCCCTGATGTCACTAACCAACTCAATACGCTCAACGCAAAGGTGTCATCACTTGAAACTAAAGTGACAGCACTAGAACAGGTAAGTACAGTATGGCCTACTTCTTACATGTTACATATTGTGTATGATGAATCTTATTCTATATTTTCACAAATAATCATTTCCCTAACTCCAAACCCCTTACCCTCTGTCCTCTCACCCTTACCCTCTGTCCTCTCCCACTCCTCTCCTCCTTTCTCTCCTCTCTATCCCTGCCTCTCCCAGACGGTCCAGAGAAAGACATGTACCAGTAATCCCTGTCAGAATGGAGCCACCTGTCTGGACCTGCTGGACTCTTTTCACTGCATGTGCCCCAGCAACTGGGGGGTAAGTGGACACACAGAGAGAGAGAGAGAGAGTGTGTGTGCCCGCACCCGCATTTATGTGTTATTTCTGTTTAAATCGTGGTGTGTGTGTGTGTCTGCAGGGTCCTAACTGTGCTGTGGATGTGAATGAGTGCCAGATCTTTGTCGGGACCTCTCAGGGATGTCAGAATGGAGCCACTTGTATCAACACCCCTGGATCCTTTACGTGAGGACACACACACACACACACACACACACACACACACACACACTGAGACACACACACACTGAGACACACACACACTGAGACAGACATACACACACACACTGAGACAGACACACACTGAGACAGACAGACAGACAGACACACACACACTGAATCTGTCTTCTTGTATTTCTCTTCAAGTTGCACCTGTTCACCAGAGTGGTCTGGTACCCTGTGTACGACCCGCTATGACGACTGTCAGGGTGCCGCTCAGGACCTGTGTGTCCATGGAACGTGCATTGACGCAGACAGAATCACACCCAACGTGGTAACTGTCAATCATCATTCAACAGTGTTGGTCTCCTATTTGATTTAATGGATCTCATCTGTTTAAAAACAGAATTGTCAGCCATTTGTCTTAGCTGTAGCCTGCCCTGTTTAACTAGCCAAAGATACTTTCATTTGATGAATGAAGACTGTCTAGACAATGTCATTTATTTCAGCCAATGTCTCCACCCTGGTCCCTTGGCTTCAATTAATTAGCTTTATGTGATAACTGCCCTGTGAAGAAAGCAATTTGTGAAGAAAGCAATTACTAGATTAGATTTAGCACTGCTAGCTACCATAGCCTTAATGTTTATTTTATTTTATTAGAGTAGAGCAATGAAATACTTCTTTTTCATAGTGATGATAGATCTGAGACCTGCATTAGAGTAGTAGGAACTGATCCATTACCAGTAGTACAGTGGAAGTTGTCTTACATGGGAGTAGCTATAACCATTTACCCCTTGGATATCGAATCAAATAAATGATTTATAGGCCCCTGGCTAATCTAATTAAGTCTTGGCTCAGTAGGCCATGCACATCATAGAAATAGAATGACTCTAGAATGACTCTATTTCTGTAATGCACGTCATTGCACATCACTGATTCACTACTAGTGCATCTAAATGTGATCGGTACACGTTCTGTACATATTCTATTTATGGGAGTTGACATGAATCCATGCCATGTGGTGTTATTTCCTTCCAGCCCAAGTTTAAGTGTGTTTGTGATGATGGTTGGATGGCCCCAGCCGGCAACCCAGCCTGTATATCAGACGTGGATGAGTGTAGCCTTGCCCAGAAGCCTTGCTCCACCAACCCGCCTGTGACCTGTTACAACACCCAGGGCTCCTTCTACTGCGGCTCCTGTCCTGCTGGTGAGAGCCGCTCAGTGCTCACAGTTTCCTTATCATCAATGGTATTGTGCATTAGGTCTGAGGAAACTGATGTTTGGTGACCCAAAATGGCTGACATAGTTTGTTACCTCCATGTGGTTGCCAGATGGATGCCTCTTCAGTCCTCCAAAATAGCATGTTTTGGTCTTGAGTCGAAGTGCTCTTGAATTCAGTTATACAAGAGTACTTCTTAGGACAAAGACATAATAAACAATGATTTGTGCTGGCATTGTCTGTATAACAGTAAATGTAACACTGTTTGTTGTGCATTCCTCCAGGATGGCAGGGCAACGGCTACAGCTGTCTGGATGTGAATGAGTGTTCCACTAATAACGGAGGATGCTCCACTACTCCCATGGTCCAGTGTCTCAATACCATGGGCTCCTTCCACTGTGGAACCTGTCCTCCAGGTAACTAACCCTTACCTTAACCCAAACCTTAACCTGCTCCTCCACTCCATGGTCCAGTGTCTCAATACCATGGGCTCCTTCCACTGTGGAACCTGTCCTCCAGGTAACTAACCTTAACCCTTAACCTGCTCCTCCACTCCATGGTCCAGCATCTCAATACCATGGGCTCCTTCCACTGTGGAACCTGTCCTCCAGGTAACTAACCTTAACCCTTAACCTGCTCCTCCACTCCATGGTCCAGCATCTCAATACCATGCAATCCTTCCACTGTGGAACCTGTCCTCCAGGTACCTGTATCTGAATGAATCTTCTGGAACCTCTCCCTCTTCTTTCTTTACCCTCCTCTCTCTACTGTTTTCTGATATTTAAATAATGTCTTCTTATTTTCTGTTCCTACAACTTATCTCTTAGTCATATACACACAACATTTAGACCAACATGGTCTTTGTCAGGTTACTGTAATAGTGTTCTTACACAACCCTTGGTGTTGAAATTAAAAATTGAGCTGGTGGATTTGGTGTACCACAGAAGAAAGCTGTCCTTGTTTCCCTCTATGGCGGATGCCAGCTGGCAGGTGGATGCTTGCTGACTCCTGGTAGTTTTCAGTAATATGGCTCTGATGAAAAGCAGATGCCTGACTATATGTAGTGTGTTCAGCCCTATCCCCATCCAGAGATCTCTTTTGTGTGTACTCTGTAGCCCTCTGGCTCAGTTTCTGTCTCTATCTCACTTTGTCGACCTCTCCTCCTCTCTCTGTCGATCGCTCTCGCTCTCGCTCTCTCTCTGTCTCTCACTCTCAGAATTAGTCATTGTGCTCAACGGTATTTTATGGCCCTTTTATTAATTCAAAATGTTGCTTTTTGTCTGGTATAGACCTGCTGGTTCATTGGTGGATTGATTGATTGATTGACTAATTGATTGGTTAATTGATTGATCTGTATCCAGGCTATGAAGGAGATGGGAGAACCTGCACTCAGGCTAACATCTGTGCCAATAACAATGGAGGCTGCTACCCCCAGGCTACCTGCTCTTCCACTCCAGGTAAATGTGCACACACACACACACACACACACACACCTATCTTTACGGCACCTCATGACCGGTGGCAGTGAGGATAAGACAGGGCCATTATTGCAGGCGTTGACAGCTCTGCTCTCTCTCACCCTCCTTATGGCTGACATCAACTATAAAGACTGTTACAGCCAGGAGACTAGATTATGATGCTATCACATGAGCAGAGGCTGGAGTGCTGAGAGAGCTCAATGCCCTATTCACCTATAGGAGAAAATGTAGTATACTTTTACTGCATGGTAGTTAGGGAGATTGGTTTATTTCTCTAACAAATTGTCCTCGTTCAAACTGTGTCGCATGTCCCTCATCTTTATACTGTGTCTAGTGAATGCACCTGTGTCTTTAATGTTATGGTGAGTTAATCAGGTATCCTGACCATATCTCTGTGCTTCCAGGCGCCATCATCCCAGTGTGCACCTGTCCCCCAGACTACACAGGAAATGGCTACGGCCCAACAGGATGCACCCAGAGCAGCAATATCTGCCAGACCAACAATCCATGTGTCAATGGACAGTGTGTGGTGAGTGTTGACTACATGGGACTCTAGCAACTTCACATTTTCTCAGGACCAGGATTTTACTCCTTAAACAATGACTTGTCCAGGAGGTTTTCATCTACACTGTATATTATTTGGGTTTTGGTAACATTTTTGCTGTATTCCCCCCCCCCCCCCCCCCCAGCCTACTTCCACGGGGTATCTGTGTACCTGTAGTCCTGGCTGGGGAGGGGTGAACTGTGACCAGAATGTCAATGAGTGTGCCAGCAACCCATGTCAGAATGGAGGTACATGCAACGATGGACTCAATGGATTCACCTGTACCTGCACTGACCAGTGGACAGGGCCAACCTGCCAGACCGCACAGCAAGGTGTGTGTGTGTGTGCGTGCATGTGTATCTGTGTGTTTATAGAATGTTATGAATGATAAAGAGAAATTGACTTATTTCAGGGTGTTTTGCTGTATTTGTACAGTGTGTGTACTGTGTGCTTCACTTACCTGTGTGTGACTGTGTGTGTTGTCAGTGTGTGGAGGCTACCTGACTGGCCCGGCTGGTACATTCAGCTACCCCAACACCCCTGGTAGTGACCAGTACGACCACCAGGTCAGCTGTGCCTGGGTCATCAGAGCAGACGCCAACAAGGTCAGTGTAATCTAATGCCACACTGTCACTTACACACAGCAGGTCCTGGACCTGACTACACATGACAAGACTGGACTCACAGTCTAACAAAGAGTTTGGCATATGCTTTTCCATAATGTTACATCAGTTGTAACGCAGTATACCATGGAATAAGCATTTTTGTTGATTTGTACAATTTGAATGTCTAACAATATGTGAAATTTGTTCTATACATTGTACAAGCCCAATAGCTATACAAGTCAAGTGGAATAGTTATTTAATGATGTGTTAATACTGTGGTGTTCATTTCTTCCCAGATTCTACGGATCACCTTCCCTCACTTTGAGCTGGAGAACAGTGCTAACTGTGACTTCGACTTCCTTCAGATCCACGATGGCGAGAGCGCCTCGGCCTATCAGTTAGGGAAGTACTGCGGTACCAGCACCCCCGCAGAGCTCTTCAGCTCCCACAATGCATTGTACTTTTGGTTCCGCTCTGACCACTCCGTCAACGCAGGCGGCTTCACTGTGGCCTGGACCTCACAGACACCAGGTGTGTGTGTGTGTGTGTGTGTGTGTGTGTCTGTTGGCAAGAGACCTAGATAAAATGTATTGTTTGCAATCTACCTGAAATAGCTTAGTCAGGTGTTACCCATGTACAGTCCTCTCCTCACTGCAATCTGTACCGGTTTGTTTCACCTCCAGTATGTGGCGGGGAGTTGACCGAACCCCACGGTAACATCAACTCACCTGGTTACCCCGGCAACTACCCTCCCAACCGCGACTGCTATTGGACGGTTGACGTGGCCCCCGGCCTGCTCATCACCTTCGCCTTCGGAACCCTCAGCCTGGAAAACCACCCTGACTGTAACTATGACTACCTGGAGGTGAGGCAGGCACCATGGCAACATCAACATGTCCCTTCAGCTATGGATATATATATATATATAGCCGCAGACATTATGTGAATATTACGATTTTTCATTATCATCCGCAACTATGAAGGTTATAGGTCTGTTACTGTAACAGTTGTCTGTCCTTGGTTCTATGTTCTGTGGTCTAGATCCGGGATGGTCTCCGCCCAGAAGATCCGGTTCTAGGGAAGTACTGCAGCAATGTGACTCCCGCCCCTCGCCAGACCACGGGACCTGCAGCATGGATCCGGTTCCACTCGGACTTCTCTAACTCTGACCGTGGCTTCCACATCACTTACACCACCTCTCCATGTAAGAGATCTGTCATATCAACTACTGTTAACAACTTACCTTTTTTAAGGAAAGGATTATTACAAGGATTCTCAATGCCATATGCAGGTTTTCTTGGTCCCAGATCTCTTTGTGCTGTTTTGCTCATTCATATGGTCATTCCAAAAATGACCTGGGACTAGGCTATTCTAAAAGATGTCCCTCTCCAACTGAAGGTCATGTGTCTGGCTCTCTCTGTTCTAGCTGACCCTGGTTGTGGAGGAACCTTTACAGAGAGCGAGGGCATCATCATCTCCCCCAACTGGCCCAATAACTACGCCCATAACCGCCAGTGTATCTACATCATCCGCCTGCCAGCCAATGAGATTGTCTCACTCAACTTTACACACATGGACTTGGAGTCCCACAGCGGTTGTATGTTTGACTATGTGGAGGTACAGTAGTGTGTGTGTGTTTTTGTTGAACTATCCTAATGCGTACGGGAAGTCCTCACAAGGATAGTAAAATAAGGACATTTTTCCAGGCTAGGGTTAGGGGTTAGGTATAGTTTTAGGGTTAGGAGTTTGGGGGTAAGCTTAGGCTTAAGCTTAAGGTTAAGGTTAGGGTTATGGTTAGGTTAATGGTTATGGTTAAGGGTTAAGGAAAAAATTATTTTGGATGGGAATAAATTATTTGGTCCCCACAAGGATAGCAATACAAAACTGGGCGCATGCACGTGTGTGTTTGTGATTGAGGTTTCTGATTGAGATTGTTGGTGGTGTCAGGGTGCTTTGTCTCTGGGAGGGGGATTAGATATGATGTGTGTGCCTGGATCTCTGTGTCCTCTTAACATTGTTCATGTTTGACTCTCCTGGTTGTGTTTCCCAGGTCCGTGATGGTACCACAGAGACAGACCCTCTGATTGGGAAGTACTGTGGGTACACCATCCCTGCCCCCATCCTGTCCTCCTCCAATGCTCTCTGGATCCGCTTCAAGTCTGACGCATCAATCAGCCAGGCAGGGTTCAGGGCCACATACGAAGTCGGTGAGAATCACAAACACTGTCTAACCACACCAGTGGCAAAACACTATCTCTTCACCATCTTGTCACTGGCAAACCCCAACAGTGACAAACCACAAGCTCTTCAGATATGCCAAAATCATGACCTGGGAAATATAGGTGTACTAATAATGGACTGCATCTATATAGTGCTTCTCACTAGGTCTAAGCAGTTAAAATCTCTAGTCCTGTGACACATCTCCTCAATCTCTCTCCCTGATCTCTACCTCAGTAGTAATTACATTTCAGCACAGCCGCCTTGCAGAGCCTAGTAAAAGTGTGAGGGTTTTATGTGAAGAATAAAAAGGGTTGTGTATTGAACTTCTTCTGCCCCCTCCCCCACCATGCAGGTTTGTTTGTGTGGCCATCTCATATGTGTGAATGCCTGGCCTGTATGTGATTTAACAGCTGCTCAACAGACTTTAAGGTTATTTCAGCAAAATTGAGTTACTGACATAGTCGTGTTCTGTTCAATGTTCTTATTGAACGTTAAGTCTTCCTGCTGTTTCGGCAATCCCTGGTGATTAAACACACTCTTGAACAGCACGGTGAATAGTGTGTTTGTGTGCTTTAATGGCCCACCCTCCACTCCATCTTCTGCACCTGGAAATGGCCTGTCAGACTGGACTACTTAGTGTCAAGGCCTGGGATGAATATCCAGTGTGATTCCCAGTGCTGGTTCTCTTTGCTCCATATTTGCATATACAGTATGTGAAGCATACCAGTCGTGTATGGTGATCTGAGCGAAAAGACTAAGCATTTTCACATTTACATTTGTGTCATTTAGCAGGTGCTCTTACAGGTACTTGCAGTTAATTTTCATTATCTGGCAACTGGTTTGCAGTCCAATAGAGTTAATTAACTTGACCTCCTTTTCCAATTAGTTTGTGCATAGCCATCTAGAAGGTCCCAATGGAGTTCTGTCTCTTTCCCAGGCTGTGGTGGCACCTTCTCTGGGACGGGTCAGATCCGGTCCCCCTACCACCCTGATGCCTACCCCCACAACAAGGAGTGTGAGTGGGTCATCAACCAACCACAGGGCTACGTTGTCACCCTCAACTTCCTCACCTTCGACATCGAGAGCGGCTCCTGTGTCTATGACTTTGTTGAGGTATTCAAACTTCACTCCAGCCTATCATCCTTGAATTCTGCCTCTGATTGTCCAACATCGTCAATGGACATTTTTTTTGTTTTACTATTGTTGTCATTACATACACAAACATTTCTAAAGAGATGAGGTGACCTGAAATAAGCTCCACCTCTCTCTCTCTCTGTGTCTCTCTCTCTCTCTCTCTCTCTCTCTCTCTCTCTCTCTCTCTCTCTCTCTCTCTCTCTCTCTGTCTCTCTCTCTGTGTCTTTCTTTCTTTCTTTCTCTCTGTGTGTGTCTCTCTCTCTCTCTCTCTCTCTCTCTCAATTCAATTTAATTTAAGGGCTTTATTGGCATGGAAACATACACTACCAGTCAAAAGTTTGGACACACCTACTCATTCAAGGGTTTTTCTTTATTTTTACAATTTTTTACATTTATAAAATAATAGTCAAGACATCAAAACTATGAAATAACACATATGGGAATCATGTAGTAACCAAAAAAGTGTTAAACAAATCAAAATATATTTGAGATTCTTCAAATAGCCACCCTTTGCCTTGATGACAGCTTTGCACACTCTTGGCATTCTCTCAACCAGCTTCATGAGGTAGTCACCTGGAATGCATTTCAATTAACAGGTGTGCCTTCTTAAAAGTTAATTTGTGGACTTTCTTTCCTTCTTAATGTGTTTGAGCCAATCAGTTGTGTTCTGACAAGGTAGGGGGTATTATGGCAAGAACAGCTCAAATAAGCAAATAGAAATGACAGTCCATCATTACTTTAAGACAAGAAGGTCAGTCAATATGGAACATTTCAAGAACTTTGAAAGTTTCTTCAAGTGCAGTCGCAAAAACCATCAAGCGCTGTGATGAAACTGGCTCTCATGAGGACCGCAACAGGAATGGAAGACCCAGACTATCATTTGTTTTTGAACAAGACAATGACCCAACACACCTCCAGGCTGTGTAAGGGCAATTTTACCAAGAAGGAGGGTGATGGAGTGCTGCATCAGATGACCTGGCCTCCACAATCCCCCGACCTCAACCCAATTGTGATGGTTTGGGATGAGTCGGACGGCAGAGTGAAGGAAAAGCAGCCAACAAGTGCTCAGCATATGTGGGAACTCCTTCAAGAATGTTGGAAAAGCATTCCAGGTGAAGCTGGTTGAGAGAATGCCAAGAGTGTGCAAAGCTGTCATCAAGGCAAAGGGTGGCTATTTGAAGAATCTCAAATCTCAAATATTTGTTATTTCATAGTTTTGATGTCTTCACTATTATTCTACAATGTAGAAAATTGTTTTAAAAAATAAAGAAAAACACTTGAATTAGTAGGTGTGTCCAAACTTTTGACTGGTACTGTATGTAACGTTGCCAAAGCAAGTGAAACTGTCAGTGTCGTCAGATCCACTGATAAGAGCAGTAACCACATATACTATGCCACAAGAGAAGGATGGCAAAATATGGCTAAGGGCAGGAGGGAGGATGGAGCAGGTCCCCAAACTGGGAGAGGGCCCAGTCAAGATGGCAACAACTACAGGAGAAATCACTAGTAAAAGTGACAAAGAAATGGTAGAGCTCAAGGGCATTACCTCATGCAAAGAGCCGACCAACTGGAGGCTCAAAGAGTTCGAAGACTGGGCAGCCTTGCCAGGTGCAAGGTGAAGGGATATGTATGTTCCACCAAGACCAAACCAGTAACGATTGGCTCACTGATCCTTATAAAGTGGGGTTCAAACAGTGACACTTTATTGCCGCTCTACAACTCAGAGCAAACAACAGTCCCAAAATAATAAAGACATTTCAAGTGTCATTATGTCTATATACAGAGTTATAATGATGTGCAAATAGTTAAAGTACAAAAAGGAAAATAAATAAACATAAATATAGGTTGTTTTTACAATGGTGTTTGTTCTTCACTGGTTGCCCTTTTCTTGTGGCGACAGGTCACAAATCTTGCTGCTGTGATTGCACACTGTGGTATTTCACCCAATAGATATGGTAGTTTATAAAAATTGGATTTGTTTTCAAATTCTTTGTGGGTCTGTGTAATCTGAGGGAAATATGTGTCTCTAATATGGTCATACATTTGGCAGGAGGTTAGGAAGTGCAGCTCAGTTTCCACCTCATTTTGTGGGCAGTGTGCACATAGCCTGTCTTCTCTTGAGAGCCAGGTCTGCCTTCGGCGGCCTTTCTCAATAGCAATGCTATGCTCACTGAGTCTGTACATAGTCAAAGATTTCCTTAATTTTGGGTAATTCACAGTGGTCAGGTATTCTGCCACTGTGTACTTTCTGTTTAGGGCCAAATAGATTTCTAGTTTGCTCTGGGTTATTTTGTAAATTATTTCTAATGTGTCAAGTAATTGTCTTTTTGTTTTCTCATGATTTGATTGGGTCTCATTGTGTTGCTGTCTTTGGGCTCTGTGGGGTCTGTTTGTGTTTGTGAACAGAGCCCCAGGACCAGCTTGCTTAGGGGACTTTTCTCCAGGTTTATTTCTCTGTAGGTGATGGCTTTGTTATGAAAGGTTTGGGAATCGCTTCCTTTTAGGTGGTTGTAAAATTTAACGGCTCTTATCTGGATTTTGATAATTAGCGGGTATGGGCCCAATTCTGCTCTGCATGCATTATTTGGTGTTTTACGTTGTATGCCAAGGATATTTTTGCAGAACTCTGCATGCTGAGTCTCAATTTGGTGTTTGTCCCATTTTGTGAATTCTTGGTTGGTGAGCGGACCCCAGACCTCACAACCATAAAGGGCAATGGATTCTATAACTGATTCAAGTATTCTTTGCCAGATCCTAATTGGTATGTCAAATTTTGTGTTCCTTTTGATGGCATAGAAGGCCCTTATTGACTTGTCTCTCAGATCGTTCACAGCTTTGTGCAAGTTACCTGTGGCGCTTATGTTTAGGCCCGAGGTATGTATCGTTTTTTGTGTGCTCTAGGGCAATGATGTTTAGATGGAATTTGTATTTGTGGTCCTGGCAACTGGACCTTTTTGGAACATCATTATTTTTGTCTAACTGATATTTACTGTCAGGGCCCAGGTCTGACTTAATCTGTGCAGAAGATCTAGGTGCTGCTTTAGGCCCTCCTTGGTTGGGGAAAGAAGCACCAGATCATCAGCAAACAGTAGACATTTGACTTCAGATTCTAGTAGAGTGAGGCCGGGTGCTGCAGAATGTTCTAGTACCCTCGCCAATTCATTGATTTATATATGTTGAAGAGCATCCCAGTCTCACCCCACAGCCCTGTGTGTGTTTTTTGCTAATTTTAACTGCACACTTGTTGTTTGTGTACATGAATTGTATTATGTCGTATGTTTTTCCTCCAACACCACTTTCCATCAATTTGTATAGCAGACCCTCATGCCAAATTCTCTCTCTCTCTCTCTCTCTCACTCACTCTCTCTCTCTGTGTCTCTCTCTCTGTGTCTCTGTCTCTGTCTGTGTGTCTCTTCTCTCTCCCCTCCCCCAGGTAAGGGACGGCTCCACGGTGAGCTCTCCTCTGATTGGTACATACTGTGGCACCACCATGCCAGCCATGCTCGAGTCCACCCAGAGGTCCATGTACATCCGCTTTAAGACTGACTCGTCCGTCTCCAACCATGGCTTCACTGCATCCTACGACTCTGCTATGGAGGGTAAGCCCCTGGTACTCATGGGATATGTAGTTTATTCTGCCGTGACTAAAAGCTCAAATATCTACTAATGTGTATGTGTTGTCAGTGAGTGGTATCTGTGAGCCTATGTGTCCTGGGACTGGGTACTGTGACAACAACATGTTTACCAATCCTTTGTCTCTGTATAATGTTTCAATAAAGATGTATTGTGTTGACTCTGAATGAGGTGTAAAAATAACAGTATATTTTAACCCAATTTGAGCCTGTTTCCCTGTTTGATGCCAGGTTGTGGCACTACGCTTAATGCCCCGTCGGGGTCCCTCACAAGCCCTGGGCATCCCAACAACTACCCCCATGGAGCCAACTGCACCTGGTACATCTCTGTCGCACCCGGCAACCTCATCCGCCTGTCCTTCACCTCCTTCAACATGGAGTACCACACCAGCTGTAACTATGACTACGTCGAGGTGTATGACAATGGCACCGTTGCGACTGGGACCAAGCTTGGCAGGTAAAGTACAGTACATGCAAACAAACCCATGTCAAGATGTTAAGAACCCGTGGCAATATGGTGATTACGCTAAATCATGCTGATGTGTGAACATTGCCATGATTCAAAGTCAATATGCTTTTTAGAAGTGAATCACTCTCGTGATAATTTACTCCAACTCGACGTCAACTCAAACTTCAGGTAACTTCTGTTGGTCAGGGATCAGGTTGATTGTTTGGGCATGAATGACTGAGTTCCCCCCCCCCCCCCATCTGCCCTATATCTTTCCAGGTACTGTGGTCGGTCCGTCCCTCCCTCTCTGACCAGCACAGACAACCTGATGACTGTCCTCTTTGTCTCCGACATCAGCCTAGCAACCGAAGGCTTCTCTGCCAACTATGTCTCCATCAACGCCACCACCGGTACGGTTACCCTCGGCAACAAGAAACATTACGGTTACCCTTGGCAACCACTATTTCCATTTACAACAGCCCAACAACGCATTCCCATTCACAGAAAAAGTCGCATAAAATGTGTGATATATGAGGGTTAGAAAGAGGACATCACCGCCACCACGAGTACTGTTACCCTCGACAGCATCAAGAATTCCAATTAACAGAAAAATAGAAAATTACTTGTCACATAAAATAGATGAGATATCAGGGTTAGAGGGGGTTCAAACCTGGCTGATTGTGTAATTGTAACAAAATAACCAAAACAAAGTTAAGCAAGAAAACATGCAGAAAAGATGGCAGTAGTAAAGGAGAGTTTGACCAATGCTTTGCCTCTTGCTTGAATGTTACTGTCGTCTGCTGCACACAACATTCCCCCCATATTTTCCTCTACTCCTGTCGAACGAAAATATGGTGTTGAGGTCTGGTACTGCAAGACTACCCTTGTGTTAACCCCATCTCTTTCCCCTCATATTCACGAAATCATATTAATCTCATGTCTTCCCCAGACTGTAGTGAGACGTTCACCTCCCCTACAGGAGAACTCAGCTCTCCTAACTTTCCCAGTAACTACCCCACCAACCGCCAGTGTATCTACAAGATCATCGTTGGGGTCAACATGCAGATTATGCTCAACTTCACTGACTTTACTCTGGAGGGCTCACCACCCAACTGTGCTTTAGACTATGTAGAGATCAGGTGAGCACCCAGTCATAATAGACCTGATCTGAATCAGCTGTTACTGGAGGATGTTTGTCAGTTGTATGATTCAATTTGACTTGAGCAGTCATTTTTGTGTAATTAGTAGCTAGCCAGGCAAGAAAACTCATGCCTAAGTAATATGTGATTAGAATAAAAATGAGACCTATGTCAGCAAGCGTGACAAGATGAAAGCTGTTAATATTGCTAGCAACTTAAAGGCCACTATTTATATCTCCCAATGTTCTCTCTGTCCGACAGAGATGGCGGTTATGAAACCTCTCCTCTGATTGGCAAGTTCTGCTCCACCCAGAGGCCTCCAATGCTGGTGTCCCATAGCAACCGCCTGTGGCTCATGTTCCGTTCCGACTACTCTGTCACCTTCCCTGGCTTCAGGGCACACTGGGACGGCACGCAGACAGGTGTGTGTGGGAGAAATGTATATTTCACTAGCATCATCTTCAACAGGTATTGTGCTACATACCAGAAAATGTATGATACTTTGACTACTCAGAATCTTAACTCCATCCCTTTATTTTTACCTCTCTCCTCCTATTCCTCTCCTTTTGTCCCTGCCCTTTCCCACCCTAGGCTGTGGAGGTACTCTGACCACCAGTTCAGGAGGGTTCTCCTCTCCTAACTACCCCCTACCCTACCACACTAACGCTGAGTGCTACTGGCTGATCAAGGCCAGCGCTGGGAGCCTGATCACTCTCAGCTTTGGCAACTTCGATCTGGAGTCCAGCACCAGCTGTACATATGACTACCTGGCTGTGAGTACAGAACACTGTTCAAGGTTATTACACCCACATAACAGTCAGTCAATACAAAATGAAATTGAACACGAGAGACAATTAGGTGTTCATGACATTGCTGAAAGAAAAGCATATCCCTTGCCCCTTTTGATGTTAGAAGAATATCTAACATAATGCCTGTCTGCCTGCCTGCCTGCCCGTCTGTCCGTCCGTCTGTCCATAGGTATACGATGGGAACAGCACTAATGCGCCACAGCTGGCCAACCTGTGTGGGACTCAGTTGCCTGCCCCCATCAACTCCAGTAGGAGTCAGCTCTATGTGAAACTACGCACAGACAGTATCATCACAGCTGGAGGCTTCGTGGCCATGTATACAACCAGTGAGCACCTATTACACACACACACACACACACACACACACACACAAGTCTAGCTTTACACCAGGATACCTACCTAGTAACCACTCCATGTAGTTGATGTGTCAACCTATCCTAATGGAGCTGTAGGGTGATTATAAGCCATCTGGCTTTCCAAAGACTCCATCCAGCCATCTCTGTGTGCTGCTTGAGCTGGTGCGCCCATGTTGATTTTGTAGGGCACATTTTACATTCTTGTTATCCAATTCTACACGTTTACGTTGACATTAGTTACATTTGAAGCTTGAGATACAGTAAACCTTATTAAAGTTAATGCTGTGCCATACCGAAGTGGCTTACAGTGGTATCCCAGGGTGCTTTTTGTTTGGTTTCCATGGAAACAGCGTTAGGGAACGCACTCTTGGGGTTCGAGAGGTGAGGAGACCGAGTTGGCAGAGGTACTCACACTACAAAAGAATGTCAGAGTGGGGACTGGCTTTACTTCTTATTGTCAGTGTTGTCAAATGGGCTTTCTGGAAGTCATGCTGAAAGGATAAGAGGTCAGTCTTAGTGAAGTCTGTCTTGTTTTGTTTCTGTCACACAGCGGTTTCCAACTTGGCCCTGGACTCATGTTCTCATTCTGTCCCTGGAACACTAATTGTCACTTAGGTTTATACAGAGAGGTCAGCTCTGCTCTCAAGCTTTATTTAGTTATTCCTGGAAAAATAACACAGTTTCAGTTTGACTCTCACAGAGTTGAAAAGTGCGATGTTGGCTCTCATGCTTAATCTTGACATTTCTGTCCAAAAACACAACATACCATTTAATAATGGAATATATTTTGATAACAGGCAAATATATCCTTCTAAATATCACCATTTAATCCAGTAAATTGAATACTGCTATATTCACTATTAACTCACTCTCCGTCTTCCTTAGGCTGTCAAGGTGTGCTGATCGCCAACCAGGCGCATGGGCAGATTGAGTCTCTGAACTATCCCAACACCTACCCCCACAACTCCCTGTGTAGCTGGACCATCCAGACCACCATGGGCAACACCATCAACTACACCTTCATGACCTTTGACCTGGAGAGGACTAGCGTCTGTAGTTTCGACTACGTCAAGGTGGGTGATGACATTAAGTCCCAAGTGGCACCCTATTCCCTTTATAATGCACTACTTTGACCAGAGCCCTATGTAGGGAATAGGGTGCCATTTGGGAAACAGTGCAAGATAATGTGAAGCTAGTGTGGTTTAATGTACTCTAATCAGAGGACCATCATAAGTGGCGAGTGGCGCAGTGGTCTAAGGCACTGCATCGCAGTGCTAGCTGTGCCACTAGAGATCCTGGTTTGAATCCAGGCTCTGTCGTAGCCGGCCGTGACCGGGAGACCCATGGGGCGGCGCACAATTGGCCCAGCGTCGTCCAGGGTAGGGGAGGGAATGGCCGGCAGGGATGTAGCTCAGTTGGTAGAGCATGGCGTTTGCAACGCCAGGGTTGTGGGTTCGTTTCCCACGGGGGGCTAGTATGATTTTTTTTTTTTTTATGTATTCACTAACTGTAAGTCGCTCTGGATAAGAGTGTCTGCTAAATGACTAAAATGTAAATGTAATAACATTGGGAAACTGAATGGATCTAAATTATAGAGGACGAAACTTCCTGGCCTGAGCTTTCTGTTCTCCCAGATGACATCACTCCAGGAAAGGCATGGTCAGGCCAGGAGGTCACCACCCCATTCATGTGATTACCGTAGTGTTGTGTGTTAGTAGTCATGAGTGATGGGTTGGCCCATTCAAATCTGGGAGGAAGTATCAGTTTCCTCTGCTCTGCTCTGACTCACCACATGGACAGGGAGCAGGAGACAGGTGGACTGCTGACTGCTTATACTCTGGAGATATGATAGTATACACAGTGACTGTGGTTCTCAACACATGCATCAACACTTTTGACATTACATTTTGTTGCAGTTTTTAAAATATATTTCTTACATTGAGAAGTTGGATATCAGCTCTCTCTCCACTGTAGGGTAGTTACTAATGTCCTGGACTGAGCTGGAATAGAATTTGTTTGAAGCCTGCATGGAAAGTAGTTGATAGACAGTTTGTTGTGATCTGTATAGATTTGAGCACAAGTTCTCACAGGTTTTCTTCAGGGGTTCCTTTTGACATGATTTTCAAGGAAGACCTCATTTCTTAAAACATGCTACAAGGGTGGTCTTTCATGGCTTACATAATACCAGTGAGTTCTATGGCTCTTCATCTAACTCACTCACTGGAAATAAATGTCTTTGTGGAAACAAAATAATGCTGTTTTCAACTGGCCCCCTGGTCACCATGACAACCCCAACACACATGGATTGCATCATGGGCTCCGAGTTAAATAGACTCATTCTGTGTGGATTTCCTGGAGACGGTAATTCACCTCCTCCTGCTGCCCCTCTATTTGGCTAGGCTGATCTCACCACTGGTTTTGTTGCCTACATTCTATTCCACAGACCTGTAACTTTAGTGTGCCAGTCTAAGTATTTACCTCATAGAGCACTGTGTGGCCCAAACCCCTATGGGCCCTGGTCGAAATGAATGCCAAACATTTCATAATTTTCAGTGTACAAAACTGAAATGACTCATGAAGATGATGTCATGACATTGTACTCTCAAATAATGTTGATTGTAACTGAGGGAACAATAACCTTGTTGCAAATCACCAATAACACATTACCCTTTTATAAGTACACAATCGTAATTCAACTATCTGTAGTTATATTAGTCTGAATTTTCCTTTAGTCCTCACAGTATATCCACAGGAAATGGAAATGGAAATCTTTCTGTTTGTTTACCTTTGAATGTAATGAATCCGAGATGTCAAGCTTTGTATTACATGGAAGGTCATCCTCATCATTACCTGGTCTAACTGCTGATCTCTAACCCCCATAGAATGTATGGCCTGGTTAGCACAGTTGAGGTAGAGAAGGTTAACATCAATAACACAGAGGTCTTAACAGGGAATGATTCATCTATACAGCTTTAATTTCACATCTTCAAGCTTAGGCCTCTACGTCCATTCACTGACATGTAGACATACAGTGGGATCCATAATTATTGGCACCCTTGATAAAGATGAGCAAAAAATACTATATCAAATAAATAATACAAATACTGAGCTATATTGTACGCTAAAAACATTTGGAAAATTATATTATATTATACTAATACAAATAAAACAATCTAAAAAAGATGGGAGTATATTTTTAGCACCCGTTTTCAATACTCTAGCACCTTACCCTTGCAAGGATAATGACAATGAGCCTTTTTCTAAAATGTTTTATGAGATTGAAGAACACATTGGGAAAGATCTTAGACCATTCCTCCATACAGAATCTTTCCAGATCCTTGATATCTTTTGACTGCCCGCTTCAATTCAAACCACAGGTTTTCAATGGGGTTCAAGTCCGGAGTCTGTGATGGCTGTTGGATCATTTCAACTAAAAAAACACAAGAAAAAGGATGTCTGACAACTAGTATGGAGCTGTGGCTCGGAGTATTGTTTCTTCATCCTATGTAATGTATTCTCAGTGAATTTGGTGATGTTTATTTCCCCTGTTCAGAGAGATGTGTCATTGAAGTTGTTAGGTTTATGTTCCATCCAACATCCTGATATGACCATGTTCTGACCATTAGATGGTGCTGTTCATGCTATTAGGTGAAGCTGGTTTACGAGGTACAACATACTATGGGGAAATATAATCACGCCCCAAGCCGACCCCAACGGATACTAAATGAAAAGGCCAATGGCAGACCACCCAGACCCCGCCAGATGCAGCAGTCTGGGTATTGCGCACCACACGGTGCCTAATAACTTTCCCCTGTCCTAGCAGTAAGCACACTGGGCTACGATATCCAAGCGATAAAACCTCACAAAAGTGTGTGGTGATGCCCAACTCGCCACAGCACAAATGTATCCTATAGTCAACCCTTTAAACAACGCTCAAGATGCTGCCCGACCCCTGCTGGAGTGAGTGCGTACACCACTAGGTAACCCTTGCTCCTTGCTGCTATGTGCCAGGGAGATAGCCTCAACAATCCAGTGGGAGAAATGCTGCTTAGAGAGCGCCCTGCTGGACACATAACCGGATATCCCGGGTCCGTTCAAACACAAGGATGTCCCTCACAGAGCACTGAAAAGGAACCAGTCCTTTATCTTGGCAGCAGAGCTCAAACGCTTGCCACTTATATGCATACAGCCCTCTTGTGGAGGGTGCCCTTGCAGACTGAATGGCAGCAATAACCTTTAGAGCTAAACCCCTAGCCATCAGATTGGCCCTCTCAGGGGCCAGGCCCATAGGAACTAAATCTCTGGCCTCATGCCAAACCTGTCCATGACCACCTTGTGGGACAACACCTGGCCCATGAGAACCCCTTGTGAAAGCAGCCAGGGATCCATCCACTGGGCCAGTGCCCGAAGGCATGTCAGGGACACCTGTATCGACCGGTTTAGAAATTGGGCCTAGTAGAGCTGGAACCCTGACCCCCTCTCTGGGGATAAAAAAAAAAAACACCAGTCTAACTCGAAACCCAGGAATGGAATGCGCTGCAATGGGGTTTGACAGCTCTTTTTCTGGTTTACAATAAAACCTAGAGAGTATACATGGGACACCAGCCTGGATGTGTGTAACACTGCTTATTCCCTAGACTCCGTTGCTATCAGCCAATTGTCCAGATAGGCCATTACCCTCAGCCCCTGGCCCCTCATGGGTGCCACAGCTACCTCCACCACCTTTGAAAAGATGCGAGGCGAGAGGGACATGCCGAAAGGGAGTACCAAAAACTCATGGCTATCACCTCATAATGGAATGTCAGAAACTTTCTGTGGCTGGGGTACATGGGCACATGAAAGTACGCATCCTTTAGGTTGATGATGGTGAACATCTTGAATTTGCAAACTCTGAGATGTTTGTTCAGGGCATGCATGTCTAGAATGGGGCGTAAACCCCCGGTCCCTTTTCAGAACCAGGAAATACCAGCTGTACCAGCCGTCCTAGGCTTCCGACAGAGGAACCACTTGCCTATTTCTGGAGCAGGAAGGGATATTTCCTACCTTAATACTGGAGCTGAGGCCAGGGGAACAGTCGACGTGATGAAGCCGCAAAAACGTGGGGGCCGTACAAGAAATTGTAGCCTGTACCCCAAAGTCACTGTTCGCATTACCCAGGTCGGAGCAGGCAGCGAGTCTCCCGTAAAGGTCCATCTGAGGGCGCATAGGTTCTTTATTAACATCTCCACCATTTTCGACATTCTTGTCTGAATGTGGAGGAGGGACATATTTTATTGAACTCATGTGGAATACACAATACTCTTGAAACCCGAAAACAATGGGGTTGAAACAATGTGTTTAGGTGCCTGAAGCCCGGTCCACTCTGGGTTCGGGGGCTTCGGCCATCCGTGACGTATCCCGATTGGCTGTGCCACTTGGGGGTACTGTTGTCACCACCGGTGGTTGGCAAGGGAGGACCTGATCCCGTGCCACACCCCATCCCAGAGCTAGGTGCGCAGGGTCTATCTCCTTCCATGACAGGACTAGCTCTCACTTCGCCCCTGGAAGCGGTGGCGGCACTTGTGCCTGGCAGTCTGGCGTTGCGCCTGGGAACCAGGCCTGTCCGACCTAGTGCTGGGCCCGGCCCCGGGGGCAGCCCACTTAGCCGGCTGAGCTCCGCCTGCTAGCCTTCCGGAAGGTGCCCCCCCGGCATCCCCAAAGGACCTCAGACGGAACTGAGCCTGTATAGCCTCCAGGGGCGAACCGAACAACCCCGTGGGAGAAATCTGTCTGTCCCCTTCCGGCACCTGTGAAAGTGTCAACCAAAGATGACGCTCTGCCACCACAGTAGCTCCCATGCTCTTCCCGAGCACCTGAACGGTGCACCAACATATGCGCAGAATGAAGTCGGCCGTAACACAGATCTCATCCAGGAGCTCTGCGTGGGGCTCTATGGTCAGATGACATGAAAATAGAGCTCTTTGACCACACACACCAGTGGTGGGTTTGGCGTTGAAAAACAGAAGCAAGTGCAGAAAAGTACCTCATACCTAATATGGTGGTGGATCGTTGATGTTATGGGGCTATTTTGCTTCCACTGGTCCTGGGGCCCTTGTTAAAGGCCCAGTGCAGTCAAAAATGTGATTGTCCTGTGTTTTATATATATTTCCACACTATGAGGTTGTAATAATACTGTGGGATTGTGAAAATTATGATAATACCCTTTTAGTGTTTTGGTTGGATGGAGTTTTGGCCTACCTGGTGACATCACAAGGCGGTAAATTAGTTAATAGACCAATAACAAAGAGTTCCAAACCTCTCTGACAGCTAGTTTTCAGTTTTCCTCTTCCCCTCAGACAGTCCTAGCAAATTCTTGCTTGAGAAATTGCTCTCTGCTAAGAAGTTTCTTTTTGACCATTTTAGTTCAAAACAATCACAGTAAGGTACTTAATTGTTACCCAGACCCTTCTGTTTTTGAGATTTTTATTTTATTACTTGTTAAACAAAATGTATTTCTCTAAGCAATTGTATACAATAATTTAATTTGCAAATTGTTTATATATTTGTCATCGCACCTGAAAGACAGTTGTTGACACAATCCTTGTGACTGTCATTTGTTTTGACATGTAAATTGTAAAACTGGAAGCTGAGAATGTTGTTCAACTTGAAGGCTTAAATCTGACTCAAGTTCTCCCTCTGCCACCTCTGGTTCCCACCCTCAACCCCCCAGCCTCTCTCTGTATGTCTCCCACATACTATGTGGAATCATTTTACAGTGCTTTTAGAAGGTATTCAAACACCTTGACTTTTTCCACATTTTGTTGTGTTACAAAGTGGGATTAAAATTGATTTAATTGAAATGTTTTGTCAACGATCTACACAAAATACTCTAATGTCAAAGTGAATAAAAATTCTAACATTTGTACAAAAATTAAGGGTTCAACCACCGGAGTCCAATACATGTTATAATCACCTTTGGCAGTGATTCTTTCTGGGTAAGTCTAAGCGCTTTGTACACCTGGATTGTGCAATATTTGCACATTATTCTTTAAAAAAATTCTAGCTTTGTGAAGTTGGTGGTTGATCATTGCTAGACAGCCATTTTCAAGTCTTGCCATAGATTTTCAAACCGATTTAAGACTAACTGTAACTAGGTCACTCAGGAACATTCAATGTCGTCTTGGTAAGAAACTCCTGTGAATGTTTGGCCTTGTGTTTTAGGTTATTGTCCTGCTGAAAGGTGAATTTGTCTCCCAGTGTCTGTTGGAAAGCAGACTGAACCAGGTTTTCCTCAAGGATTTTGTCTGTGCTTAACTCTATTCCATTTATTTTTAGTCCTTCGCCGATGACAAGCATACCCATAACATGATGCAGCCACCACCATGCTTGAAATATGAAGAATGGTAGTCAGTGATGTGTTGTGTTGGATTTGCCCCAAACATAACGCTTTGTATTCATAAAGTAAATTTCTTTGCCACATGTTTTGCAGTTTTACTGTACACTACAGTTTTACTGTAGTGTCTTATTGTAAACATGTTGCATGTTTTGGAATATTTTTATTCTGTACTGGTTTCCTTCTTTTCTCTCAGTCATTTAGGTTAGTATTGTGGAGTAACTACAATGTTGTTGATCCATCCTCAGTTATCTCCTATCACAGCTATTAAACTCTGTAACTGTTTTAAACCATTGGCCTCATGGTGAAATCCCTGAAATCCCTGAGCGGTTTCCTTCCTCTTTGGCAACTGAGTTAGGTAGGACGCCTGTATCTGTGTAGTGACTGGGTGTATTGATACACCATCCAAAGTGTAATTAATGACTTCACCATTTAATGACTTCTATTTTTACCCATCTACCAATAGGTGTGCTTCTTTGCGAGGCATTAGAATACCTCACTGGACTTTGTGGTTGAATCTGTGTTTTGAAATGGATTGCTCAACTGAGAGACCTTACAAATAACTATGTTCAGGTTACAGAAATGAGGTAGTCATTCAGAAATCATGTTAAACACTATTATTGCACACAGAGGGAGTCCATGCAACTAATTATGTGACATGTTAATAACTTTTTTTTACTGCTGAACGTATTTAGGCTTGCAATAACAAAGGGCTTGAATACTTAGCTTTTATTTTTGTATTAATAATTCCACTGACATTATGGGGTATTGTTTGTAAGCCAGTGACACAAAATCTCTATTTAATCCATTTTAAATTCAGGCTGTAACACAACAAAATTAGGAAAAAGTCAAGGAGTGTGAATACTTTCTGAAGGCACTGCACTTCTTAGATTAGACCCCCCCAGTTTCCACCTCCCTTTCAGGCCTCAGAATATGTCAGGATTCATGAATCCCATCTCCTCTCTCCTCCCCTTTCTCTGTTCTGGTCTGTTACATAAGAACACATCATGCCAAGACAATGGAGCTTATTGTTGCATTGTCACCACCTCACCACTAATACAATATGTTTTCCATGAGAATAGGAAACCATATGTCAGGATTTTAGTACATCTGTTTGAATTTCTATACATCTCCTGTAGCTCTGAAGTCCTGTGAAGCTAGCCAAATATGTGTATGTTTATATTTGTAGCTTTATTCTAACATTTATTCAATTTTCTCAGAATAGCTAACAGTTCCTAACCTGTCTCGATATTTCCCCCAGCTGTACAACGGTCCCAACGATCAAGCCCCTCTGATTGGCTCGTACTGTGGGAACACGCCCCCTCCGGCCAACACCACCACTAGCTCCTCCCTTCACGTGGTGTTCCGCACTGACTCATCAATTGCCATGACGGGCTTCCAGATGCTCTGGTACCAGAACGGTGAGACCATAACACAACCACAACTAGCTCTTGCACCACAACACAACCACAATATGACTATAAGTAATAGAACCATAACAACCATACACAACAAACTGGCTGTGTCCAAAATAGCACCCTATTCCCTTCATAGTGCAGTACTTTTGACCAGCAAACCCCGCCCATCTGCCACTCCAGGTAAGCTAGAGCAAAGATTTCAAATAGTATTTAAAACCAGGTCTGACTGTTAGTATGAATATGAAGTTGTACTAGCTAGATCGAAGAGGGACCACAAATACCACGCCCCCCCCTTCCTCTTACTGCTGTGTTCCATTATGATGTCATCTGTTCCTTCTCCTCACTTTTTTCCCAAACAGCTCTGGGAACTCCCCCTGCCCTCACGCCCACATAGGAAAGGGCCTGGCCCAAACACTCACTGTTACTGTACGATTCACTGTAAATAGGCCTAAAGCACAGCCAACATGCTCTGTGTTGAATTATTTAGTATACGACTGAATGGCCATTGGCAAGAGAAATTGTGAAATGGGACCGCTTGTGGAAGAATATGCATTTGTCATAAAATACTAATTTCGTTCAATTTCATCCCTTTTTGTCTCTACTCTAGCTGCATCCTTAATTACCAAAGTGTTAGATTGGTACATTCAGTCTTGGCAACCTAATTTAAAGTAATCCATGTTTCAGGGATATTCAATGATTTGCAACACAGAGCTAGTCTGGGAAAATACCCCCACTTTGTCCCTCATGTTTTTCACCAAAGGAAAAGTTAGATCAAGACTACCTTGAAAGCTGTAAGAGGCTTATAGAAGATAAGAGACACCACAAAGTTTAGAGGCCAACATTCCTGTTGATTTTTCATAAAGGATTACACTACAATTTAGTTAATATTAAAGGAGTTGTAATTAGCTCAAAGTCGTTTACAGATTAATTGCTTGTGCTCTTCGTTGCACAATTACGGACATTTGCATTCACACAACACATACAGTGTACATATCATTTTTACTATTTGTTCAGTACAGACTGATCGCTCAGCAATTCTGTCCCCTGCTTTACTTCTATTCCACAACACTGTGAGATTTACTGAGTGAATAGCAGGATGCCATTGAAGTTGCTGAAATGATCTTGATCGTCATAGACCCATGTAGATTCCAATAGATGAACATAGATCTCATTCCCCTCCAACTGCACAGTGATCCCATTAGATACACTAGCCCAGTCGCCAGCACCGTTTCCCATAGAAGTTACAAGTAATTGACACATTTTCATCAGCAATGTACAACATTGGCCTGCATTATAGATATGATAGTATGTGAAGTGATAGAGATGCATGCAGACGTCTAAGCAACTGTCACACGTTGTACGATAGACCATAATGCAGTTGTCTTCATTCATCACTATGTGGAGATTACCTGTATTTGGGCTCTAAGCATCGCCGATGTTGGTGAAGACCTTGCTGTAGATCAGGGTGGTTAACGTTTTGTAGGGTCCGAAGTACCCGACACCTAGTCCAGCTGAGAATGCCACCTTTGGTTTGGCTGGGGTACATGCAAAGTGTTGCAACTTGCGTGATATAATCACTCTTGATAAATGCTGTAACAAACTATAGTGAACAGTTACAGTATTAGCATATCTCATCCAAACATTGGGAAAGGAAGTTAGGCTAACCCTTTCAACATACAATTATTTGATGAAAATAATGGACATTGATAATTAATAATATTCCCAAATCATAATTTGACTGCTTGTGCATACAGTATGCTCAGGGGATAATACTGTACGATTTGGAATGGCAATGATGATACTCACATAATCTTTAAATAAAATAACTGTCATGACCACAGACTCAGTAAATGATACAATGTTACCTGCATTCTGCTTCAGCTCCCCCACCTGGTCAGCCACTGTGATGCTCAGTTGGGATGTAAGACCTGGAGAAATATGAATATCAAGCTTTAAGACTCTAGTCAACTAGGCTCCACCTGCCTCACACTGGCACTCAACTCCAATGCTTGAGCTATGGTATAGCAAGTAGAAGTGTTTTAAGGGCCATAGGTTGAGAAATTACAGAGCTTATCAATAATGGACAAAACAGCAGAGAATTAAGGTGAGCTCAGTCTATGAAGGAGGCAATTTTGAATCAACCAGTTTTCAGACTAAGAAAAAAATTACATGTCTAACGGGCTAAATAGTATATTAATTGATACCTTTGATCTAACAGCTAAATAGTCTCCCGAGTGGCGCTGTGCCACTAGAGATCCTGGTTCGAATCCAGGCTCTGTCGTAGCCGGCCGCGACCGGGAGACCCATGGGGCGGCGCACAATTGGCCCAGCGTCGTCCAGGGTAAGGGAGGGAATGGCCGGCAGGGATGTAGCTCAGTTGGTAGAGCATGGCATTTGCAACGCCAGGGTTGTGGGTTCGATTCCAGTATGAAAAAATAAAATAAAAAACATGTATGCACTCACTAACTGTAAGTCGCTCTGGATAAGAGCGTCTGCTAAATGACTAAAATGTAAATGTAAAGTGTAGTATATTAATTGATACTTTTGATCTAACGGCTAAATAGTATATTAATTGACACCTTTGATATAACGGGCTAAATAGTATATTAATTGATACCTTTTGATCTAACGGGCTAAATAGTATATTAATTGACACCTTTGATCTAACAGGCTAAATAGTATATTAATTGATACCTTTGATCTATGAAATTACACACCTTAATGACAGGCGGCTTTTTGTCATTATTAGTCTATGTGACCAACACTAACCAGCATTACTATGTCCCAATTACCTCTCCTTCCTCCCATCTTGCACTTGTTCACTTCCCTTTTTTTATTTTGTTTATTTAACCTTTATTTAACCAGGTAAGCCAGTTGAGAACACGTTCTCATTTACAACCTGGCCAAGATAAAGCAAAGCAGTGCGATAAAAACAACAACACAGAGTTACATATGGGGTAAACAAAACATAAAGTCAAAAATACAACAGAAAATATACAGTGGGGAAAAAAGTATTTAGTCAGCCACCAATTGTGCAAGTTCTCCCACTTAAAAAGATGAGAGAGGCCTGTAATTTTCATCATAGGTACACGTCAACTATGACAGACAAATTGAGGGAAAAAAATCCAGAAAATCACATTGTAGGATTTTTTATGAATTTATTTGCAAATTATGGTGGAAAATAAGTATTTGGTCACCTACAAACAAGCAACATTTCTGGCTCTCACAGACCTGTAACTTCTTCTTTAAGAGGCTCCTCTGTCCTCCACTCGTTACCTGTATTAATGGCACCTGTTTGAACTTGTTATCAGTATAAAAGACACCTGTCCACAACCTCAAACAGTCACACTCCGAACTCCACTATGGCCAAGACCAAAGAGCTGTCAAAGGACACCAGAAACAAAATTGTAGACCTGCACCAGGCTGGGAAGACTGAATCTGCAATAGGTAAGCAGCTTGGTTTGAAGAAATCAACTGTGGGAGCAATTATTAGGAAATGGAAGACATACAAGACCACTGATAATCTCCCTCGATCTGGGGCTCCACGCAAGATCTCACCCTGTGGGGTCAAAATGATCACAAGAACGGTGAGCAAAAATCCTAGAACCACCCTAGTGAATGACCTGCAGAGAGCTGGGACCAAAGTAACAAAGCCTACCATCAGTAACACACTACGCCGCCAGGGACTCAAATCCTGCAGTGCAGGACGTGTCCCCCTGCTTAAGCCAGTACATGTCCAGGCCCGTCTGAAGTTTGCTAGAGTGCATTTGGATGATCCAGAAGAGGATTGGGAGAATGTCATATGGTCAGATGAAACCAAAATATAACTTTTTGGTAAAAACTCAATTTGTCGTGTTTGGAGGACAAAGAATGCTGAGTTGCATCCAAAGAACACCATACCTACTGTGAAGCATGGGGGTGGAAACATCATGCTTTGGGGCTGTTTTTCTGCAAAGGGACCAGGACGACTGATCCATGTAAAGGAAAGAATGAATGGGGCCATGTATCGTGAGATTTTGAGTGAAAACCTCCTTCCATCAGCAAGGGCATTGAAGATGAAACGTGGCTGGGTCTTTCAGCATGACAATGATCCCAAACACACCACCCGGGCAACGAAGGAGTGGCTTCGTAAGAAGCATTTCAAGGTCCTGGAGTGGCCTAGCCAGTCTCCAGATCTCAACCCCATAGAAAATCTTTGGAGGGAGTTGAAAGTCCGTTTTGCCCAGCGACAGCCCCAAAACATCACTGCTCTAGAGGAGATCTGCATGGAGGAATGGGCCAAAATACCAGCAACAGTGTGTGAAAACCTTGTGAAGACTTACAGAAAACGTTTGACCTGTGTCATTGCCAACAAAGGGTATATAACAAAGTATTGAGAAACTTTTGTTATTGACCAAATACTTATTTTCCACCATCATTTGCAAATAAATTCATTAAAAATCCTACAATGTGATTTTCTGGATTTTCTTTCCTCATTTTGTCTGTCATAGTTGACGTGTACCTATGATGAAAATTACAGGCCTCTCTCATCTTTTTAAGTGGGAGAACTTGCACAATTGGTGGCTTTTCCCCCACTGTATATACAGTGTGTGCAAATGTAGCAAGTTATGGAGGTAAGGCCATAGGCCATAGTGCAAATTAATTACAATTTAGTATTAACACTGGAATGATAGATGTGCAAGAGATGATGTGCAAATAGAGATACTGGGGTGCAAATGAGCAAAATAAATAACAATATGGGGATGAGGTAGTTGGGTGGGCTAATTTCAGATGGGCTTTTGCCCAATAAATCATCACTGATTTGAAAGGAAATGACTGGTATAGCAAATATGGTGGAAACTCCCACTAGCCCATACCTTCAACAATCCAATTATTTTAGATTTGTGGGAAGTGGTGAGCAAGTATACTCTTCAGGTGAAAGGAGAAATTAGTGGAACCCACCCCTTATCTCCATCAGCCTTACTGACTCAGTGTGGCCCCCTACAGGTTGTGGTGGGGATCTGTCTGGTCCCACGGGCTCCTTCAACAGCCCAGGATACCCCAACAGATACCCAGAGAACAGAGAGTGTATCTGGCACATCCAGACTGCCACAGGAAGCAGCATCACCATCACCATCTATGAGTTTGATGTGGAGTACCACCCTGACTGCAACTATGACGTACTGGAGGTAATGTGTGTGTGGTGTGTCAATGTGTGTGTCGGTGTCCGTGTGTGCCTGTGTTTGTGTTGGTGTGGGTCTTAGTGAGTGTGTGTTTGATACTGCGTGGTGTATGCCAGATTTGTGTTGTGCTTACTCCTGTGCTAGCTGTACCCAGAGGGCCTAGCGCGGAGTAGCTCACGCCAGTGGAATGCTGACTTCCACCAGACAGAACAGTGAATGGAGCCAGCGGGGCAGAAATGACCTGGAAATCACAGCTTAGAGAGCTAGCTAGCTGGCCTTTATCTGGTCCAACTGCCTCCAACACTGGACTCACCCCGCCACCGCCAAACTACCCACAGTCCCTCAGGGTCATTCAGTGTCTTCACCCTAACTTCCCACAAATGTCACTTCATCATCATGTGGTTATCAGCTGCTTCTTCCTGTCCTGTAACTGACCAAATATGTTTGTTGTTGTGGACACAATCTGTAGACCAGCAAAACATTTTAAAGGATGGTCTGACAATTAGCTCATTTGATTCCCATGTGTCCTATTTTTAAACCAGACAAATGAGCATAGATGAGGACATGAACATAGTTAAGTGATAACCTCAGCTCTAAATATGCAGTGAAAGTCCGAATGTGCATTCTGTACGGTCTTTGTACCCTTCAATGGCCCGTTGTTGCTACATTAGGTTGTATGTACACTGAGTGTACAAAACATTAGGAACACCTTCCTAATATTGAGTTGCACCCCCTTTTGCCCTCAGAACAGCCTTAATTCATCGGGGCATAGACTCTACAAGGTGTCAAGCTTTCCACAGGGATGCCGGCCCATGTTGAATCCAATGCTTTCCACAGTTGTGTCAAGTTGACTGCATGTCCTTTGAGTAGTGGACCATTCTTGATACACACAGGAAACTGTTGTGCGGGAAAAACCCCAGCAGCATTGCAGTTCTTGACACACTCAAACCAGTGCGCCTGGCACCTACTACCATACCCCGTTCAAAGGCACTTAAACCTTTTGTCTTGCTGATTCACCCTCTGAATGGCACACATACACAATCCATGTCTCAATTGTCTCAAGGCTTCAAAATCATTATTTAACCTGTCTCCTCCCCTTCATCTACACTTATTGAATGGAACACTGGTCACTTTAATAATGGAACACTGGTCACTTTAATAATGTTTACATACTGTTTTACCCATTTCATATGTATATACTGTATATTAGTCAAGGCCATCCTATTCAACCATTGCTGTACATATACTATTCTATCCAACGTATTCTTCAGATACTACATATTCTATCCACATACTGTCCACAATGTCTAAACATCCCATCACATATATATATATATATATATATATATATATATATATATATATATATATATACTCCGACATTGCTCGTACTAATATTACTTAATTCCATTCTTTTACTTTTAGATTGGTGTGTATTGTTAGATATTACTGCACTGTTGGAGGTAGAAACACAAGCATTTCGGTACACCCGCAATATCATCTGCTAAATAGGTGTATGCGACCAATAAAATTTGATTTGATTTAATAGGTGACATCAATAAGGGATCATAGCTTTCACCTGGTCAGTCTGTCATGGAAAGAGCAGGTGTTCCTAATGTTTTGTACACTCAGCGTAATATTTATGGCTGTATGCCGTAAAACCCAGTGATCTCTACTGTACAATCTTTGTGACCCAAACACTAACCCCTAAACCCTGTCTCTCTACAGGTGTATACAGGTCCAGACCTGTCAGCTCTCTGTCTCGCCCAGCTCTGCACAACCTCCACCATTTAACTGTATCTTCCTTAACCCCTGAACCTCTGACCTTTAACCTCTAACCCCTGTCTTTCCACAGGTATACGGAGGCCCTGACCTTTCAGCCCCAAGGCTAGCCCAGCTCTGCACAACAACCTCCAGCCCCCTCCAGGTGTCCAGCACGGGGAACATGGTCACAGTCCGCTTCAAGTCTGACCCCTATGTCAGTGGCCGAGGGTTCAATGCCAGCTGGGTCGAGGTCCAGGGAGGTGGGTGATAGTTGGCTGTAGACACATACTGTACTGCACATACACACAAATACATACACGTTTTCACTAAATCCCGCTTCCTCCCCACTCTCCTCTCTTCCTCCCCAGGTTGTGGAGGTCCGATCAAGGCCCCCAGTGGAGAGATCCACTCCCCCAACTACCCCGCCAACTACCCCAACACGGTGGACTGTTCCTGGACCATCTCAGTGGACGTAGGCCACCGGGTCCTCTTCAACTTCACTGACCTGGACATAGAGCTCCACTCCATGTGCCAGTGGGACCATGTAGCTGTGAGTGACTTACTTTATGAATGATGACGTGTTAATGGTATTTATACTTCTGGGATGAGTAGGACATTTGGAATGTGATTGTGGTTCTACTCTCTTTATGCCGCTATCTCTCTCAATGTCAGGGTATTGGCATGTCCACACTAACAGATGTCATGGTCCTCTGAAAGAAGCTTGGCATCTGAACACAGAGACATTTATTATTATTATTATTATTACATTCTATTGAAATATCAACTACTGTTCTGAGGGCAGTTTCCAGTCTGTCCCTCCCACTGCCTCTGTCATTCTAAGTGGCCTTTGTTCCATCCCCCCATCACAGAGAGACAAACCACAAACAGAGTAGAGCTCTTTGTCTCTCTGTGGTTTGGCCATCTTCTTGTCACATTCCACGGCCCATTATTAACACAGTAAAGGGAAGACAGTACCACCGAAATTATGTGATGTCTCTGATGTCCCACTGGTCAAGTGCCCTAGTGGTCTGTGATACAAGCTAGTGCTACAGATTCTGTTCAGGGAAACAAGTAGCCTTCAGTTTATGCGAAAGAGCATTCAGTGTGTAAGATACAAGATGCAATGAAAAACTGCATTGAGGTAGCCAACAGAATAGTTATCCTTTGAAAAGCCCCCATATGAATCAAATAAAGAGCTGGCGAATGACCGATCATATGTCATTTTCTCACTTAATTGTGATCATTGCGAGACACGAACTACAGGAAACAGAAATTATTCCAGTCCTATTCCATATTTTCCATTCTGAACATCAACTTCTCATCTTTACTGTGTGTGTGTGTGTGTGTGTGTGTGTGTGTGTGTGTGTGTGTGTGTGTGTGTGTGTGTGTGTGTGTGTGTGTGTGTGTGTGTGTGTGTGTGTGTGTGTGTGTGTGTGTGTGTGTGTGTGTGTGTGTGTGTGTGTGGTGTGTGTGTGTGTGTGTGTAGATCTATGATGGACCCAGTATGTCTGCTCCGCTGCTGGGTCAAGTGTGTGGTCAGACCCGGCCCTCCCCCATCACCTCCACCCAGAACACCATCTTTGTGCGGTTCAGATCTGATGCCAGCCTCAACCACCGGGGCTTTGCCGCCACCTTCTCCGAGGGTGGGTCATCAGCACAGCTCGCATGGCAATAGATACACATATTGATACATATGCTGTACCTCTCTTAGCTGTTATTGAGACATTGAACACATTTCTGGTTCATTACAAATATATTTATGTGGACGAAGTCTGCTCCAGCATTGAACAATATTTGTTTAAAAGTTCTGAATCATTGCCTTTTGCTATAAAAGTGTAGATTTTTGTTTGGATTCTTGTTGTTAAAAAACTTTTATTTCTCTCAGCTTGTGGAGCAACCTTCTTGACAGATGACGTGGGCGGGGCCATCGCGTCGCCACGGTATCCTGCTGTCTACCCAGCCAATCAGAACTGCAGTTGGATCATCAAGGCTCAGTTGCCATGTCAGTTAGCCAATCACATCACAGAGACACACCACTCTATCCACTGCACTACAGCTCCCATTCATTTCAATGGCCTGCCATCTTTGGTGATTACCATGGCGTTGACCAATGGTACTTTACAATATAAAAACAATGTAATTGATAGTTATCAGTAACAAACTGAAGTCATGCTGTGTCTTGTTTTCTCTTTCTACACTCTACCCACTGCATAGTCAACCATGTGACCCTGTCGTTTACGGACTTTGAGCTGGAGAGTCTCAACTCCAACTGTTCCCATGACGCTGTGGAGATCCTAGATGGAGATAACTACATGGCACCAGTCATTGGTAAGGTCATGTTACAGGGAGTGAATATTACAGAAGAATACAGATCAGTGCTAGACAATGGATACTGATCCTCTGAGGCTGCAAACTATAGAAGAATATAAACAAGAACAGGGGATATAACAGAGACTGTGTAACCCTTTACACTCAAAACCATATATGGGTTGAAAATGGCAGATTTGAGCGCTGATCACCTCCTAAATTAGAGCGCTGTGGCTGTATAGTAACATGCTATAAATGACATCAGAGCTCATAAAGGCCAATTCCCATGAGTGTAAAGGGTAATGTCATTGTTGCAGCACATGGCCTTTAACATGAAATAACATCTCTCTTCATGAAAATATACTGTGTTGAAGTATTACTGAATACTACTCCAACACAGTGAGATAGATACATTTTCCATGTTAATTGTGGTGATATTTATTTTCCCCTCAGGTCGCTACTGTGGGACTGAGATCCCTCACCCAGTCACATCGTTCAGCAACGCCCTGGTTGTCAACTTTGTCTCTGACTCCTCTGTCGCCATGAAGGGCTTCAGAGCAACCTACACAGGCTCCACCTCAAGTAATGCATCTAGCTGCATTTGTCAGAATGGTCAACTATTAGTGGGACCCAATGGTTGTGTCACATAAGGTCTTAAAGTACCTTCAGAAATGTAGTTTGATTCCACATATCTACTGCTATCTATTGCCTATCTTTGTAGCAATCTCCATAGAGAATACATCTGACAGTGATCAGTTCTGACAGTGACTTACCCTAACCCTCCTCTCACTAATCCTAACCCTGTCTTCCTCTCCCAGGCTGTGGAGGGGACTTGATCATGGAGACAGGGGCCTTCAACAGTCCTAACTACCCTGATGCCTACCCTCCCAACGTGGAGTGTGTCTGGACCATCACCAGCTCCCCTGGCAACCGCCTCCAGCTCTCCTTCATGTAAGTCTCCTATACTTATCACGCAGTTATTACATAGGTTATTACATAAGAACAAATGCCTACCTATTGCATCTTCTACGTATACTGAGTATATTTATTATACTGGAATAAGTATGGAATAAGTTCTAAATAAAGTGGTTATAACAGTGTTATTACATAGGTCATTACATATCAATAAAGTCATGACTACGCTAATAGTTATTATTTACCTCTCCTGTGCCAGAATGTTCCAGCTGCAGCAGAGTTCTGACTGTAACAACGATTACCTGGAGATCCGGGAGGGAAACTCTACAGGCGCTCTGGTTGGTCGGTTCTGTGGGGACTCCCTCCCCTCCAACTACACGTCTCTGATTGGCCACGTCCTGTGGGTCAAGTTCCGCTCAGACTCCTCTCTCAGCGGAGCTGGATTCAGAGCTACCTTCTCCCACTGTGAGTGTGTGTGTTGGGGTTTTGTGGGCTCGTGCACACCGTAGTGTCTTACTGTACATTCCACTCTCTCGATGACACAATGCATCTCTTCAGATGCTTTTCCTTTCTGTTAACGCCATGCATGCATCACATCCCTGTCGATGGTCTATCAAAGTCTTTCAATGACAAGATACAGTACATTAGCTTTAGATGCATCTAGTCATACACTCAGTATGCTAAACATAGGACATGTGGTCTCTCCTTCTCCAGTGTATGGGAATGACATCACAGGTACGTCAGGACAGATAGCGTCTCCCCTGTACCCCCGGACATACCCCAACAATGCAGACTACCGCTGGACCATCACTGTACCCGGAGACGACTACATCCAGATCCACTTCCTAGACATCGACATCGAGGACCTGTACGACTGCTACTATGACCAGCTTAAGGTGTGCATCATTTAGGCGACTGATTCTTTTGAAATGACAACCTCTTCCCTTCATAGAATTGAAAACATCCCCAAAAGTCATCTCATTTTGATATTAGTAAACGTTAGATCACTATCATCCTTGAAAACTCATTGTTGTGTTTGTTGTAATAGGGGGTACTGTAAACATGATATAATATAATACTAATACAATATAAGAAAGTTATATCGGGAACTATAAACCATTACCCAGTCTTTTACTTCTAACCTCTCTCTCTGTGTGTGGTCAGATATTTGACGGGCCCAATATCCATGCCTACTCCCTGGGGACGTTCTGTGGTCTATCCCTGCCCGCCTCGGTCAGTAGCTCCGGCAGCACTGTGACTCTAGAGTTCCAGTCCGACTCTGTGTTGGGGGGAAGAGGCTTCCTCATTGAATGGTCAGCCATACAGAGCTCTGGACCCCTTCCCACCATAGCACCAGGTGTGTGTTTAAGCCAGTCTGTGCGTGTGGGTGTTTGTGCACCCGTCCATGCACCCATCCGTGTGTGTTACTATACTCATTTCTATCGCTCTCTCTGTATGTAGGTGCATGTGGGGGGGCTCTGATGCCAGGCGACAGCCCCAGGTTCCTCTTCTCCCCCGGCTGGCCAGACAGCTATGACCCTAACCTGGAGTGTACCTGGGTCATCCGTTCCCCTGACTCTATCGTGGAGCTCAACTTGCTGTCTCTGGACATGGAGGACTACCCCACCTGCTACTACGACAGCCTGGTCATCAGGGATGGTGAGTGCGTGAGAGAGAGGCCTGGATCCTGTTCATTAGGCCACACCATAGCAAAACTTTTTGTAGGAAAATCAAGTATTTCTCATTGGACAAGTTCAGATAGTACATGTTTGTTTCACTCTGTTTTCTTCTGTTTCGTGCAAACTGAACAAGACCATGGTTTAGTAAGACCTTTATACTAGACTACTGGTTAATCAGCTTTGTGTGAAGCGTAAAACACTGAAGTTTTACTTTCTAGTGTCTGGGAGACAGTATGTCACTACCACAACACTGTGTAGTGTGTTTATGTTTTAGCTAAGCAAATGGACACATCTCCTCGGTGATCACTGCATGTCCTTTCCTTTGTGTTCCTGATGTTTACCCCAGTGTGTGTTCTCCTCCTCCAGGTGAGACCAACCTGTCCCCCCTGCTGAACACTGTGTGTGGCCGTGAGCTGCCTGGTCCCATCCACTCTACAGGGGACTCCATGTTCCTCCGCTTCACCTCAGACAGCAGTGTCTCTGGGAAGGGCTTCAACGCTTCCTACTCCAAGGGTGAGCTCACTCACAACCCTCTCTGAACCAATCCAATCACTGGATGTTGTTGACCCTGCTAACTTGGTTGACATCTCATTCTCTTAACCTTGCTGCTGTCTTAGTTTAATATCCAGGCTGTTGATTTCATATTGGTTTGTATCATAGGTTTTTGATCTTCCTGGATTCTGTTTCTCTATGACTTTGACAATGCAGATCATACTGATATCATTGACTGTATTTATCTAAAGGAAAAATATAATTCTCAGTATCTCTTTGACAAGTGACAATAAAATTATTGTTTTCTAATTCTCCTTCTAGGTTGTGGTGGTCTACTGCACGCAGACAGGGGTGTGCTCTCCACCCCACGGTACCCCGAGAACTACCCGTCCAATCTGGACTGTAGCTGGCACGTGATGGTGACCCCAGGCTTCAGAGTGTCTGTTAACATCCAGAGCCCCTTCCAGGTCCAGGGCTTCGGCACCGCCTGCAGCTCTGGAGACTACCTAGAGGTGAGATACAGTGCATTCGGAAAGTATTCAGACCCCTGGACTTTTTCCAAATTTTTCTACGTTTCAGCCTTATTCTAAAATTGATTAAATTGCTATTTCTCCTCATCAATCACTGACAAAGCAAAAACACGTTTTTAGAAATTTGTGCAAATGTATTACAAATAAAAAACGGATATATAACATTTACATAAGTATTCAGACCTTTTACTCAGTACTTTGTTGAAGCACCTTCGGCAGCGATTACAGCCTTAAGTTTTCTTGGGTATGACTCTACAAGCTTGGCACACCTGTATTTGGGGAGCTTCTCCCATTCTCTGCAGATCCTCTCAAGCTCTGTCAGGTTGGATGGGGAGCGTCGCTGCACAGCTATTTTCAGGTCTCTCCAGAGATGTTCAATCGGGTTCAAGTTCAGGCTCTGGCTGGGCCACTCAAGGACATTTAGAGACTTGTTCCCAAGCCACTCCTGCATTGTCTTGGTTGTGTGCTTAGGGTCGTTGTCCTGTTGGAAGGTGAACCTTCGGCCCAGTCTGAGGTCCTGAGCGCTCTGGTGCAGGTTTTCATCAAGGATCTCTCTGTACTTTGCTGCATTCATCTTTCCCTCGATTCTGACTAGTCTTCAAGTCCCTGCCGCTGAAAAATATCCCCACAGCAAGATGCTGCCACCACCATGCTTCACCGTAGGGATAGTGCCTGGTTTCCTCCAGATGTGACACTTGGCATTCAGGCAAAAGAGTTCAATCTTGGTTTCATCAGACGAGAGAATCTTGTTTCTCATGGTCTGAGAGTCTTTAGGTGCCTTTTGGCAAACTCCAAGCGGGCTGTCATGTACCTTTTACTGAGGAGTGGCTTCTGTCAGGCCACTCTACCATAAATGCCTGATTGGTGGAGTGCTGCAGAGATGGTTGTCCTTCTGGAAGGTTCTCCCATCTCTACAGAGGAACTCTGGAGGTCTGTCACCTCCCTGACCAAGGCCCTTCTCCCCCGATTTCTCAGTTTGGCCGGGCCGCCAGCTCTAGAAAGAATCTTGGTGGTTCCAAACTTCTTTCATTTACGAATGATGGAGGCCACTTTGTTCTTGGGGACCTTCAATGCTTCAGAAATGTTTTGGTACCCTTCCCCCGGTCTGTGCCTTGACACAATCCTGTCTCGGAGCTTTATGGACAATTCCTTCGACTTTATGGCTTGGTTTCTTTGCTCTGACATGCACTGTCAACTGTGGGACCTTATATAGACAGGTGTGCCTTTCCAAATCCTGTCCAATCAATTGAATTCACCACAGGTGGACTCCAATCAAGTTGTAGAAACATCTCAAGGATGATCAATGGAATCGAGTCTCATAGGTGTGAATACTTATGCAAAGATTCTAAGAACCTGTTTTCACTTTGTCATTATAGGGCATTGTGTCTAGATTATTATATATAATATTTTTTTTTTTGGTGTATTTTACCCCCTTTTTCGTATTATCCAATTGGTAGTTACCATCTTGTCCCATCGCTGCAACTCCCGTACGGATACGGGAGAGGCGAAGGTCGAGAGTCGTGTGTCCTCCGAAACACAACCCAACCTAGCCGCACTGCTTCTTGACACAGTGCCCGCTTAACCCGGAAGCCAGCCGCACCAATGTGCCGGAGGAAACACTGTACACCTGGCGACCGAGTCAGCGTGCACTGTGCCCAACCCGCCACAGGAGTCACTAATGCGCAATGGGACAAGAACATGCCTGCCGGCCAAACCCTCCCCTACCCTGGACGGCACTGGGCCAATTGTGCACCTCCCCATGGGTCTCCCGGTCGTGGCCAGCTGCGACAGAGCCTGGAATCGAACCAGGATCAATAGTGGCACAGCGATGCAGTGCCTTAGACCACTGCGCCACTCGAGAGGCCCCGTGTAGATTGAGAAAAAAATAATAATTGAATCCATTTTAGAATAAGGCTGTAACATAACAAAATGTGGAAAAAGGTAAGGGGTCTGAATACTTTCCAAATGCACTGTAATAGAGTCAAATAGAGTAGAGAAGCGCATTGCCCAGTAGAATATAAGAAAATAGATGAGATTAGAGTATAGAAAATAGTAGAATGGAGTATAATATAATAGAGTAGATATAGAATATTTTCTAACATCAAATGCACTGTTGACATATTTATAATATTTTATATAACTTGGATAGTTGTTTATCATATCAATGGATGCTACTTAGACAAATCGTTATTTGAAGCATGATCAGGTTGATTATATATAATGAATGGTTTGAACCAGTCTCCTAAATGATTCTGAAAGCCACAGCTATACAGAATGTACTACACCTTGTTATAGCCAGGAAGAGTGATCTGCTCTGACAGATTCAATTTATCCAGTGAGTGATATGGATTGTAACATGACCCTTACCCCTCTGTGTGTGTGTGCGTTACTGTGTGTGTGTGTGTGTGTGTGTGTGTGTGTTCAACCCGCCGCCTGTCTGTCTTAGTTGAGGAACGGTCCAGACGCCTCAGCCCCCTCTCTGGGGGGTCGTCTGTGTGGCACCAGCCCCCCTTCCATCACCCAGACAACAGACAACAACCTCCACATACGATTCATCTCAGACGCCACCAACGAGGGCAGCGGCTTCAAACTGACCTTTGAAGCCCACAGCCAGGGTGAGACTTTAATAACAGTAACTTGTTATAACATGTTAATAACACAGACAATCAAAAAGGTTTAGATTGAAATACTGTAATGTATGTTTTTACATGATTGAGACCACTGTATTTTGGGCGTATGAGCATAGAAGTCAAAGTGCATGTGAGAAAATACTTTAGGATTTCTAGATTTTCCCAATGACATGTATTTTCTCTCCGCCTGTAGCTTGTGGAGGAGGCATTGAGCTGAGTGACTCGGACCCTCCAGGCTACATCACGTCACCCAACTACCCCCAGAACTACCCCCAGAACGTGGACTGTATCTGGGTCATCACCGTGCCCAACGGGGAGTCTGTCCAGATCGACTTTGAGGATGAGTTCGACATCGAGCCTACGTCCAAGTATGACTAAACTAATGTCCCATTTGATATCATGGTCCTGTTGTAATTCTTCATAATGTTTCTTTTAACTTGTATTAACTTGTTATAACTTCTTATGTCATGTTTCTTATATTTGAGTACAGAACGCTGTATGTTTCTTATATATGAGCACAGAGTATGACAGTATTTCTATAAGACTGTATCCAAGAGACATATTGTACCATTCTGTTGTTGTTGAATTTTTGAAGAAAACAATTTCATGAGATTTACCCCCAATGTTTTGTCATCAGCTGTTTCTATGACTACATTGAGCTCCTTGATGGTGCCACCTCTGATGCTGACTCCATGGCTAAACTGTGTGGCAACACCAGGCCCTCTACCCAGCATTCCACTGGCTCCACCATGTACCTGCGCTTCCGCACAGATGCCAGCATCACACACAAGGGCTTCAAGGCCAAGTACTCCATCGGTGAGTGTAACTCGAACAGAATCAACCCACTCCACCACACTCTCAAATACAGTCTCACACACGCTCACACGCTCTCTGAAAAACACCCTAACACCTACATAGACCTTGAACCCTTTCAGTGGGTATGTTACAGTATCAAACATAACTCAGAAAGCAGATGTATTTTGCTGCCTCTTCTACAAGAGATGCAGGAGATACTTGGAATGACCCGGATCTCAATCTTTGCTTTTGGTCTTTTCAATCCAACACAGCCACGTGTGGAGGCACCTACACTGGCCAGAGTGTTACCATCAAGAGCCCTGGTTTCCCTGCTAACTACCCAGACAACTTAGCCTGTCAGTGGTACCTGGAGGGCCCTACAGGACACTACCTCACCCTCTCCTACAACAACTTCAGCCTCCAGAGCACAGTAGACTGCAACAGTGACTATGTGGAGATACGAGAGTACAATGCCTCAGGTAAGAGATCTCTCAGATAACCTGCTGTATGTGTACGGATTCTTGACATGTTTCTAACAATGTTCTGCCTAAAAATGACAATGGTGTGTGCACATACGGTTGTGTTATATGTCTTATCTAAGAAGTCTAATTCAGTTTGTCAATTTGTGTAATTAATTTTGTCTAATGTGATGAAATAAAGTTGACGAATGTGTTGCCGGTATGCCCTGTTCCAGGGCGCCTCCTGGGAAAGCATTGTGGGAACAGTATGCCTACCCCTATGGACACAGGAGACAGCTTTGCTTATGTCAAGTTTATCTCCGACAGCAGTGGAAACGCCCCAGGATTCAGTCTGTCCTTTGTGGCCAGTGTGGAAGGTACAAGACAATTAATTTAAGATTTACAGTGCATTCGGAAAGTTCAGACCCCTTCACTTTTTCCACATTTTGTTACGTTACAGCCTTATTCTAAAATGGATTCAATAGTTTTTTCCCCCTCATCAATCTACACACAATACCCCATAATGACAAAGCAAAAACAGGTTTTTAGAAATTTTTGCAAATGTATTACAAAAGAAAAACTGAAATATCACATTTACATAAGTATTCAGACCCTTTACTCAGTACTTTGTTGAAGCACCTTTGGCAGCGATTACAGCCTCGAGTCTTCTTGGGTATGACGCTACATGTTTGCCACACCTGTATTTGGGGAGTTTCTCCCATTCTTCTCTGCAGATCCTCTCAAGCTCTGTCAGGTTGGATGGGGAGCGTCGCTGCACAGCTATTTTCAGGTCTCTCCAGAGATGTTCAAGTCCGGGCTCTGGCTGGGCCACTCAAGGACATTCAGCGACTTGTCCCGAAGCCACTCCTGTGTTGTCTTGGCTGTGTACTTAGGGTTATTGTCCTATTGGAAGGTGAACCTTCGGCCCAGTATGAGGTCCTGAGCGCTCTGGAGCAGGTTTTCATCAAGGATCTCTCTATACTTTGCTCCGTTCATCTTTCCCTCAATCCTGACTAGACTCCCAGTCCCTGCCGCTGAAAAACATCCCCACAGCATGATGCTGCCACCACCATGCTTCACCATAGGGATGGTGCCAGGTTTCCTCCAGACGTGACGCTTGGCATTCAGGCCAAAGAGTTCAATCTTGGTTTCACCAGACCAGAGAATCTTGTTTCTCATGGTCTGAGAGTCCTTTAGGTGCCTTTTTGGCCAAATCCAAGCGGGCTGTCATGTGCCTTTTACTGAGGAGTGGCTTCCGTCTGCCCACTCTACCATTAAGGCCTGATTGGTGGAGTGCTGCAGAGATGGTTGTGCTGCAGAGATGGTTGTCCTTCTGGAAGTTTCTCCCATCTCTACAGAGGAACTCCGTTACAAGACCATGGTGCTTGCCAATGGAGCAGTGAGGGGAACGGCACCTCCGTACCTTCGGGCTCTGATCAGTCCCTACACCCAAACGAGGGCATTGCGTTCATCCACCTCTGGCCTGCTGGCTCCCCTTCCTCTGCGGAAGCATAGTTCCCGCTCAGCCCAGTCAAAACTGTTCGCTGCTCTGGCACCCCAATGGTGGAACAAGCTCCCTCACGACGCCAGGACAGCGGAGTCACTCACCACCTTCCGGAGACATTTGAAACCCCACCTCTTTAAGGAATACCTGGGATAGGATAAAGTAATCCTTCTAAAAAAGTGTAAAGTGGTTTTCCCACTGGCTATAGGGTGAATGCACCAATTTGTAAGTCGCTCTGGATAAGAGCGTCTGCTAAATGACGTAAATGTGCCCTTGAGCAAGGCACTTAACCCTAATTGCTCCTGTAACTCGCTCTGGATAAGAGCGTCTGCTAAATGACTAAAATGTAAATGTAACTCTGGAGCTCTGTCAGAGTGACCATCGGGTTCTTGGTCACCTCCCTGACCAAGGCCCTTCTCCCCCGATTGCTCAGTTTGGCTGGGCGGCCAGCTCTAGGAAGAGTCTTAGTGGTTCCAAACTTCTTCCATTGAAGAATGATGGAGGCCACTGTGTTCTTGGGGACCTTCAATGCTGCAGAATTTTTTTGGTACACTTCCCCAGATCTGTTCCTCGACACAATACTGTCTCGCAGCTCTACGGACAATTCCTTCAACCTCATGGCTTGGTTTTGCTCTGACATACACTGTCAACTGTGGGACCTTGATATAGAAGGTGTGCCTTTCCAAATCATGTCCAATCAATTGAATTTACCACAGGTGGACTCCAATCAAGTTGTAGAAACATATCAAGGATGATGAACGGAAACAGGATGCACCTGAGCTCAATTTCAAGTCTCCTAGCAAAGGGTCAGAATACTTCTGTAAATAAAGTATTTCTGTTTTTATATTTAATAAATTAGCAAACATTTCTAAAAACCAGTTTTCGCTTTGTCATTATGGGTTATTGTGTTCAGATTGATGAGGAAAATAAATAATTTAATCAATTTTAGAATAAGGCTGAAACGTAACAAAATGCGGAAAAGGGAAGGTGTCTGAATACTTTCCGAATGCACTGTATGTGTGATTTCTGTGTCATAGCTTCGTGTAGTATTGGTATTAGCAGTGAAAATGACTGACTGACAGTCAAAGTTAATAAGCTGTAGTTAGGTATTGATGTAAACAACCCATTCTTTCTTTTGCACTCTCATTCTTTCTATACTGTCCCCCTACAGTGTGTGGAGGTGAGCTGAACGCTCCCTCGGGGACCATCTCATCCCCTAACTACCCCAACCTGTACCCTCACAGCCGTACGTGTCGTTGGGAAATAACTGTGGTCCCGGGGAGAAGGGTCACTCTCACCATCAACGACCTTCGGCTGGAGGGCACCAGCAGCAGCAGCTGCTATGCCGACTATGTGGATGTGGGTCCCACTTATCTTTCAGCTGTCCTTCTCATCTTTTAGGTTAACTTTTTCATCCTTTAAGTCAGTCTGTTGTTTATTTTCTCATTTGCCCCCACTTGCTGTGTAGTCATTTAATCTAAGATTAAATTGTGCTCAATTCTTCTAGCACGTAATCAGCCAGGTCACATCCGTGGTCTTTCCATGCTTCCAGTATGACTTTATTGGTTCTAATGCAGTTCTAATGGTTCTAACTGGTTCTGATGGCGTGGTTCTCCTCCCTCAGGTGTTAAACGGCGTGGCGGCAACTGCCCCTCATATCCAGCGGTTGTGTGGCACCGTGCCAACAGGCTACCAGGTTAAGTCATCAGGGAACACCATGACTGTAGTGTTCCGTACCGACTCCTCTGTCTCCAATGGAGGCTTTACAGCTACCTACTCCTCCAGTGAAGATGCATGTGAGTACAGCTCTACTCTCCTCTTCCTCGCAACTCTTCCCCAGGGCATTGGTATAAGATAATGTGTTCTCAGTCAACCTTCAGTACCTATAAGGGTTAATAATAAAGGCAGCCAACGCAGATGTGACCTTATGCAAAGTATGTCTTTAATGTGTAAAGTGTGTTGCCATCCTTATAGGGATGTTAACATGTGGATTTGATTTGATTTGAATTATCAAAGCTGCTCTCAAGTGAAATATCATACATTTAAAATACCCTTCAGTGTTGTCTTGTTCTTAACCTCTATGTCCTCCTCCATAGTATGTGGTGGCATCCTTAGTGACCCAGCTGGAGGTAACTTCACCTCCCCGGGCTACCTCACCTCTAACTACAGCAACAACCTGAACTGTGAGTGGCTGATCCAGAACCCTACACAAATCAACTCGTCCATCGTGGTCCTCCTAGAAGACCTACACCTGGAGAACCATCAGACCTGCGAGTCCGACTACATAGAGTTCCGCCTGGGTGAGTCACAACGCGCTCTGAATGTGTTGTTTTGCTAATTGAAGAATGTTTATGTTCGTAATTAAAGTAACTACTCATTGGGGCGGTTTACCAGACACAGATTTAAGCCTAGCCGTAGACTAAAAAGCACTTTCAATGGAGATTCTGCATTGAGCTTGCTTTTTATTCCAGGACTAGTCTTAATCTATGTCCGGGAAACTTCCCCTAAGTTATAAAGACAAGTGATTATGTGCCTAACCTTGCTGAAAACTGATCCCCAGAAACAGGCTGTGTAACTGTGTGGATGTTGTGTATCTTCCCTTCCTAGGTGACTCTAGCGGGGAGCTGCTGGCCCAGTTCTGTGGCCAGACCACTCCTATGATTCCCCTGGTGGTGTCCACCCCTGAACTCTGGGTCCACTTCCAGACCAACCAAGCTATAGGAGACCTGGGCTTCAAGGCCAAGTACCTATTCTCCGGTGAGTTTAGCCCCATCTCTATGTCTCTCACGTACAGTTCCTCAATATCTTAACTGAACATCATGTGGTCCGAGCACCACAAGTTTTATTCTGAGGGATATCAGACACAGATCGATGCTCCACTAAGGCATCAAGATATGAAATGTAACATTACAATCTTCATGACCTCTCCATCTCCCTGGTTGTTGGTAGACTGGGGAAGGAGGTGTAATCTCCAGTCCTGCCTAACCAAACATGAACCTCTTTACTCAGCCGTTGTGTCTAGCTCCTAACCTCTACCTCTGTCTACTTACCTCCCTATAGAATGTGGTGGTAGGCAGACCGGACAGGGAGGCATCATCTCTAGCCCTGCCTACCCTAACATCTACCCCAGCCCCAGTCGCTGTGCTTGGTTACTAGAGGCCCCTGAGGGTCACACCATCACTGTGAGTAGTGGAGAATCCCTCAGCAGCACATTCTGGAGTTGGATTCAATCTTGTGTTTGTGTGTTTTGGTAGTTAAAGTTAGCTACATAGCTAACACTGTAAGACCAATATCAATAAACATGTGAAGTAGCTAGCTAGCCATTTTGGGAAGTAAAGAGGATTTGTGATGCATTTGTGATGCATTTCTCTTTGGTAGATGGTGTGATTGTTATATTTATTTACCTGGATGGTCAGTTTTTTTAGGTGATAGTAACATTAATAGTGACATTGATGTAGTGTATGGTATTTATGCAGAGCTTGTGCTATAAATTGTATGGTATAGTATAAATACAGCTTATGCAACACCAACAGCCATCACATACCATACAGATTTCCCTTAAAAACCATTCAAACCACCCCCTGTTGTACCCTCAGCTCACCTTCAGCTACTTCAACCTGGAGCCTCACAATACCTGTGGCTGGGACTCTGTCACCATCTTCAACGGGGGCTCCCCAGGGTCTCCTGTGATTGGCCAGTACTGTGGAACCACCTCCCCGGGAACCATCCAATCAGGGTCCAACAAGCTGGTGGTGGTTTTCCTGGCCGATCACTCAGTGTCCAGGGGAGGGTTCGTGGCCACCTGGTCAACTGACTCCTCAGGTAGGCTATGGGCCAATGAGTGACCAGGATGTCGTCTTGGCCAGGGTTGAGGTCAATTTCATTTCAATTCAGTCAATTCAGGAAGTAAACAAATATAGAAATCAGATACTTTCTGGATTGACTGAATTTAAATGGAATTCACCCCAGCCCTGGTCTTGTGATTGTTCTGTGAAAGTTGTGTGATATGTTGTGAAAACATGATGTACTATTGTATCCCTACAGGCTGTGGAGGAGTGATACACGCTGACACTGGCGTCATCAAGTCTCCCAACTACCCTCAGAACTTCCCTGCCAACATCGAGTGTTCCTGGACCATCATTGCCCACGAGGGCAACCACCTAGAGATGAACTTCAGCTCTGACTTCCAGATCCCTGATGCCAACGGGCAGTGCCAGAGCAACTACATCAAGGTAAACACACACCATTGAACCTCCTCTCTCCTGTACTTGCTTGATAGGATTGCGCCCTCTATTAAAATAGCCTTTGTTACTGCAAGGTTGATGCTCCGCTGACACCACATGACTAAAATAATGAACCCAAGGAGTGGGAATTCCTCTGTATAACGGTTCTGTGCAGGGGTGTGTGTTACACCAGTGGATCTGTGGTCTGCTAGCTGCAGGGTGTGACAGCACTGATCCAGTTGACATCAAATCTCCCTACTGTACAGTACATACTGAACATCACGTCTGTTTATTACTGTCTCTGTGGTATTACCTGTAGGTGTGGTCAGGTGATAGTGAGCGAACTGATGGACTGCTAGCTACAGGTTGTGGTACCACCGCCCCAGCCCCCATCATCGCTCCCTACAACACCATCACCACTAGGTTCCAGTCCACTGGAACCCCAGGAAGAGGCTTCTCAGCCAACTACATCACAAGTGAGTAGAGTACTACTAGTGTCTGTTAGTTACACATTTACAGTCGTCATATATCAGTGGATTTGAACTACTATAAAGTTCTCTCTGTTGGTGTCTTCTCTTAGGGTGTGGAGCTAACTTCACTGCCCCCACCGGCCGGGTGGTGTCGCCCAACTACCCAGCCGACTACCCCATACTCTCCGACTGTAGTTACCTCATAGACGTTGGACCCCAGACTGTCGTCATCCTGGAGTTCCGCAGCTTCCAGGTAGAAGGTAAGAAGGAGGACCATCTAAATGGTCATCTTGGCTCTCCTGCAATATGATAGCTGTGTAACAACAACTGCACAAGAGATTTGTCTCTTGCTCTTTGCTGTTGAGAAAGTCAGCCCGATATGCTACTTCCGAAATGCGTATCGCTTATTCTACCTTCAAATCACATTTATAATACTACGATTATTTTTACAGTTAGTTTCCCCCTATATTGTCCTAACCTGTGTCCTGTCCTAGCCCATTCCACGTGTCTGTATGACGGGGTGAAGGTGTACCGTGGTACCCACCCTACGGGGACCCCTCTGGCCACCTTGTGTGGCAGCACCATCCCTGGACCCTTCAACACCCTGGGACCCATGCTGGTCAACTTCTACTCCGACTCCATCATCAACGACAACGGCTTCCTGGCTGAGTACAGAGCTATACGTGAGTATCATGCTTCAAGTCTGAGGCCCAATCCTAAATCAACCCATGGACCCTAAGCCTTCTGCCAGGGGTGTCCAACTCAATTCCTGGCCGTGCCTCGGCTGGTTTTTGTTATTTCCTTTCAACTCCTGCCCAATTTAGACTTAGACAACAAGGTGAGGAGAGTTCCTAACTACCTTCAGAGGACTGGAGTTTGACACATTTGCCTTATGCACTTGAAAAGATCTGAGAATATTTTATTTGTGTAAGCAAATGTGGTGAAATGTGGTGAACCCTAACAAAAGGCAAGGTGGAGCTATTACCATATTGCTTACACCTGAGTATTAGTGCGTTCTGGCCCTGACTGGGTCTGTCTGGGCCTCTGGGCTCAGTGTTTTGGGCTTTTGGCCTCATAGTTCTGGGGTTGTTTACCATTAAGAGGGGAATGCTGCCGTTGCGCTGGCGCTCCATTCAGCCCAGTGGAGAATGTGAAGAATGGAGAGACGCTGCGCTTTCTAACAATCAGAGGGGATTTGAGAGGAGAGAGGGCTCTGGATACCAGGCCACAGCAGATGGATACCAGGCCAGGGGCAACACATACACACAATAGACCCACACAAACATACAGTGCCTTCAGAAAGTATTGACACCCCATGACTTTTTACAAATTGTGTTGTTACAGCCTGAATTTAAAATGGTCACTGGCCTACACACAATACCCCATAATGGTCACTGGCCTACACACAATACCCCATAATGTCAAAGATATTTTTACAAATTAATAAAAAATGAAAAGCTGAAATGTCTTGAGTCAATAAGTATTCAACCCCTTTGTTATGGCAAGCCTAAATAAATTCAGGAGTAACAATGTGCTTAACAAGTCACATAATACCTAATAATAGTGTTTAACATGATTTTGGAATGACTACCTCATCTCTGTACCCCACACATACAATTATCTGTAAGGTCCCTCAGTCGAGCAGTGAATTTCAAACACAGATTCAACCACAAAGACCAGGGAGGTTTTCCAATGCCTCGCAAAGAAGGGCACCTATTGGTAGATGGGTAAAAAAAAAAAAAAAAAAAAAAAAAAGAGGCAGATATTGAATAACCCTTTGAGCATGGTGAAGTTATTAAATACACTTTGGATGGTGTATCAATACACCCAGTCACTAAAAAGATACAGGCGTCCTTCCTAACTCAGTTGCCGGAGAGGAAGGAAACCGTTCAGGGATTTCAACATGAGGCCAATGGTAACTTTAAAACAGTTACAGAGTTTAATGGCTGTAATAGAAAAAAACTGAGGACGGATCAACAGCATTGTAGTTACAACACAATACTAACCTAAATGAGTGAAAAGAAGGAAGCCTGAACAGAATATAAATATTCCAAAACATGCATCTTGTTTGCAACAAGGCACTAAAGTAATATTGCAAAAAATGTGGCAAAGCAATTAACTTTTTTATCCTGAAAAAAAAGTGTTATTTTTTGGGCAAATCCAATATAACACATTACTGAGTACCACTCTCCATATTTTCAAGCATAGTGGTGGCTGCATCATGTTATGGGTATGCTTGTAACCATTAAGGGCTTGGGAGTTTTTCAGGATAAAAAATAAATGGAATGGAGCTAAGCGCAGGCAAAGTCCTAGTGGAAAACCTGGTTCAGTCTGCTTTCCCCCAGACACTGGGAAAGGAATTCACTTTTCAGCAGGACAATAACCTAAAACACAAGGCCAAATCTACGCTGGAGTTGCTTACCAAGAAGAATGTTCCAGAGTGGCCGAGTTACAGTTTTGACTTAAATCTACTTGAAAATCTATGGCAAGACCTGAAAATGAGATATTTCTGTATTTCATTTTCAACAAATTTGATAACATTTCTAAAAACATGTTTTCAGTTTTTCATTACGGGGTATTGTGTGTAAATGGGTGAGAAAAAACAGTTTAATCCATTTTGAATTCAGGCTGTAACACAGCAAAATGTGGAATATGTCAAAGGGTATGAATACTTTCTGAAGGCATGCTCACAAACACACACACGCACCCTTCAATTCATAATAATTACACTCTGACCTCTGTAATATTCAGACATGCAGCCTGTCAGACAGAACAGTAAATAAGTATCATCATCAGTAGCTAAATGACTCACACACTTCAGACAGTATGACAAGGCAGCCATTATAGCCTCTATAATGGGGGAGACACCACTCTCCATCAAGCCTTTTAGATGACTCATGTCTACAGTGGCATGGTCACGTTGAAAGCTCAGAGTAGTTAAAAACGAAAACCTTATTGCTTAATGAAAACAGCTCTTCTCTCAGAGCCAAGACACACAGCAAAATACAGTCTGAAAATCAACAGAATTCATTCAAGTAGAATTCATTCAAGTCGATTTAATTCAAGTAGCAGACAAAGGTGGTGGAAGGATATTAATATAAGGTATTTTTGTCTCTGGTATGGTCATAGAATGGTATTAATCAGTGTTTTTTTACTCTTAGCATGTGGAGGTGTGTTCAACAGCACTTCTGGTACGGTCAGCAGCCCAGCTGGCATCGATAACTACCACCACAACATGAACTGTACCTACCACATCATCGTCACCGAAAACTGGGTCATCAACCTCAAGTGAGTCCAAGGGACATGCTGCTTTGTCTAACAACCCAGAGGTCTAATAATGATCAGAAAACCAACACAATCCATCATCATTCAAAATAAGAACAGGGAGCAAATGCAAGGCTTAAGCTGAAGTGTTGACTTAGTATAAAGCACGTATAAGACTGCATTCTTAGCTAACAATGAGTACCTCATGTTTGTAGTGTAGTAAGATCATTCTGATTCTGGAACAGTTTTTCTCTCTGTGATCAGAAGAGAACAGACTGTCTCATGTCCTGCCTGTTTCCACCTGCAGGTGTTATTCCCTTTGTGTCACACCATAACCCCACTGAGAGTGTGTGTCCGTGTGTGTGTGTCTGGGTGTGTGTGGAAAGTTTTCCTCTATGGACCAGGCACCTCCTAACTCAAAACAATTACTTTCCTCCAAAGGGACTTTCTGTGTGTGACAGTGTTTTAACAAACCCACATGAACAGGTTGACACCTTTCTCGAAAGTCGTGTTAGGCTTTAAATGACACCCACATCTCCTCAGACGTCCCATAACCCTCTGCCTCTCCTTCCACCAATCAGGTGGAACACCTTCCATCTGGAGGCGTCGTCGTCCTGTCGCTATGACTACGTGATCGTGTACGACGGGCCCAACACCATGGCTCCTATAATGGGGCAGTTCTGTGGCACGGCACTCCCGCCCAACCTCCAGTCCACAACCAATCAGATGTTCATCGCCTTCATTACCGACTCATCCGTGTCTGGGATTGGCTGGAGGGCCACCTACATTGAGACTCTGGGTAGGTCATCTTACACTGGGCTTCTCTATTGGTCTATTAAAAACAATGGACAGTGTTACATTTTTCTTATCGTCTATCCCTAAGTGTCCCTGACACTATATGGGCTATTGAAAACAATGGAGAGTATCTATATATATATTTTTTTTACAAATCTTACATTGTCCTATACTTATTCAGGCTCCAAGCTACTGTCGACGTTAAGTTACTATAATTTGTTTTACACTCACTCTAAATCAGTGAGAGGCCAGGATTGTTGTTCTACTCACTCCAGTATCAACCCAAGTCTTAAATCGGTGTGTAGAGGGGGGGTACATTCCCAATGACTGACTGCCCGCTGCACATAAACAGCCTTTTGTCCATCCGATGGGCAAGGGGCCAGCCAGCCATACTAGTGTACTCAGACCAGGACAAAAGAGAGAGAGGCGTTCTGCATGCATCAAGCTAGTGAATAAAGGGCGTGAATGTGAGTTTTTTTAAAATCTCTTTTGCCATTTATTTTAATGCATTTTATCTAGTTGATTTGTATTTGTTTGATAGTCTAGATACAAATGTCTCTATAAAGTATAGGGAGGGCTGAGAAAGAATCCAAGATTCCATCATTGTCTTAGAAGAGAGCCATAGTGAATCACCCCCTCTGTGTTACACTAAAATCAATCTCCAGCTGTGGTTCCCCCTGTTTCCCATGGAGCAGAAGGCCCTCCGAGGGATGTGAGCAGCTGAACAGACTGGGCAGAGGGGGAAGATTTATGACTGCGCACACAAACACTCCTCTGTCTCTCTGGGGGTGTTGGGAGTTCTATAGATTTGAACACATTCTGTTCAATATTCACAGCTTACCCTCTCGCTCTCTCTCTGGGAGTGTTGGGAGTTCTATAGGTTTTAAGACATTATGTTCAATGTTCACAGCTCAGACATATCCAGTGCCTCAGTTTAGATGCATACAGAGCAGCAACAGCGGGAGGGACAACTGAGTATATGGGGGCAATGATACTCTTGATGCAATATTAAATATCACTTGATGGGTAGATACTCAACCAGTACTGTTTTGAAGGTGTATCAACCTTGTTTGATGATGTAGGCCTATACATGTGTAATAACAGCCATGCAATCTTCTTTTGGAATTCATGGACATTTAGCGCCATCTGCTGTTTTTATTTTAATTATTTAACCTTTATTTAACTAGGCAAGTCAGTTAAGAACAAATTCTTATTTACAATGACGGCCTACCAAAAGGCAAAAGGCCTCCTGCGGGGACGGGGGCTGGGATTAAACCTAAAAAATTAAATAAAAAATATAGGACAAAACACACCACAACAAGAGAGACCCCACAACACTACATAAAGAGAGACCTAAGACAACAACATAGCATGGCAGCAACACATAACAACACAGCATGGTAGCAACACAACATGACAACAACATGGTAGCAACACAACATGGCAGTTGCACAACATGGTAGCAGCACAAAACATGGTATAAACATTATTGGGCACAGACAACAGCACAAAGGGCAAGAAGGTAGAGACAACAATACATCACGCGAAGCAGCCACAACTCTCAGTAAGAGTGTCCATGATTGAGTCTTTGAATGAAGAGATGAAGGTAAAACTGTCCAGTTGGAGTGTTTTTTGCAGCTCGTTCCAGTCGCTAGCTGCAGAGAACTGAATAGAGGAGCGACCCAGGGATGTTTGTGCTTTGGGGACCTTTTAACAGAATGTGACTGACAGAACAGGTGTTGTATGTGGAGGATGAGTGCTGCAGATGAGGGCTGAGTGAGGCCTAAGAGGGTTTTATAAATAAGCATCAACCAGTGGGTCTTGCGATGGGGATACAGAGATGACTAGTTTACAGAGGAGTATAGAGTGCAGTGATGTGTCCTATAAGGAGCATTGGTGGCAAATCTGATGGCCGAATGGTAAAGAACATCTAGTCGCTCGAGAGCACCCTTACCTGCCAATCTATAAATTACGTCTCCGTAATCTAGCATGGGTAGGATGGTCATCTGAATCAGGGTTAGTTTGGCAGCTGGGGTGAAAGAGGAGCGATTACGATAGAGGAAACCAAGTCTAGATTTAACCTTAGACTGCAGCTTTGATATGTGCTGAGAGAAGGACAGTGTACCATCTAGCCATACTCCCAGGTACTTGTATGAGGTGACTACCTCAAGCTCTAAACCCTCAGAGGTAGTAATCACACCGGTTGGGAGAGGGGCATTCTTCTTACCAAACCACATGACCTTTGTTTTGGAGGTGTTCAGAACAGGGTTAAGGGCAGAGAAAGCTTGTTGGACACTAAGAAAGCTTTGTTGTAGAGCGTTTAACACAAAATCCGGGGAGGGGCCAGCTGAGTATAAGACTATCATCTGCATATAAATGGATGCGAGAGCTTCCTACTGCCTGAGCTATGTTGTTGATGTAAATTGAGTAGAGCGTGGGGCCTAGGATCGAGCCTTGGGGTACTCCCTTGGTGACAGGCAGTGTCTCAGACAGCAGATGTTCCGATTTTAGACACTGCACTCTTTGAGAGAGGTAGTTAGCAAACCAGGCCAAAGACCCCTCAGAGACACCAATACTCCTTAGCCGGCCCACAAGAATGGAATGGTCTACCGTATCAAAAGCTTTGGCCATGTCAATAAAAATAGCAGCACAACATTGCTTAGAATCAAGGGCAATGGTGACATCATTTAGGACCTTTTAAGGTTGCAGTGACACATCCATAACCTGAGCGGAAACCAGATTGCATACCAGAGAGAATACTATAGACAAGAAAGCCAGTCAGTTGATTATTGACAAGTTTTTCCAACACTTTTGATAAACAGGACAAAATAGAAATTGGCCTATAACAGTTAGGATCAGCTTGATCTCTCCCTTTAAATAAAGGATGCACCGTGGCTGCCTTCCAAGCAATGGGAACCTCCCCAGAGAGGAGAGACAGGTTAAAAAGGTCAGAGATAGGCTTAGCGATGATAGGGGCTGCAACCTTAAAGAAGAAAAGGTCTAAACCATCTGACCCAGATGTTTTTTGGGGGTCAAGTTTAAGGAGCTCCTTTAGCACCTCGGACTCTGTGACCGCCTGCAGGTAGAAACTTTGTAGCGGGGCAGGGGAAAAAGAGGGTGGCGCATCGGGGCTAGTCGCATTGGAAGGAGTGGGAGATGAGGAAATGTTGGACGGGCAAGGAGGCATGGCTGAGTCAAATAGGAATCCTTACTTAATGTGTGGTGATTAAAGAGCTCAGCCATGTGCTCGTTGTCAGTAACAACCACATCATCAACATTAAGGGACATGGGCAGCTGTGAGGAGGAGGGTTTATTCTCCAGGTCTTTAACCATTTTCCAGAACTTCTTGGGGTTAGACCCACAGAGAGAGAACTGCTCCTTAAAGTAACTAGGTTTAGCCTTCCGGATAGCCTGAGTGCACTTATTTCTAATTTGCCTGAACGAGCGCCAGTCAGCCTGAGTATGCATTTGCCGAGCCTTTCGCCAAATGGAATTCTTGAGGTGGAGTAACTCTGCCAGATCACGGTCGAACCAGGGGCTGAACCTGTTTTTAATTCTGATTTTCTTTATGGGGGCGTGTTTGTTAACAATACCACTGAAAATATCAAAAAAGAAGGTCCAAGCATCTTCGACAGAGGGGATCAAGCTGATTATATACCAATTTACAAAGGCCAGGTCATGAAGGAAGGCTTGCTCATTAAAGTTTTTTAGCAAGCGTCTATGACAAATCAGGACAGGTCGTTTCACTGAGCAGCCGTTACGAACACAGGCTGTAAAACAGTGATCACTAAGGTCATTACAGAAAACACCAGACTGATACCTATCAGGATTATTTGTGAGGATAACATTAAGGAGAGCAGCCTTTTCTGGGTGTTTGGAGTCATACCTTGTGGGATTGGTAATAATCTGAGAAAGATTTAGGGAGTCCCATTGCTTTAGGATTTGGTCAGGTGGCCTAGGCATGTCCCAGTTTAGGTCACCTAGCAGGACAAATTCAGACTTAGTGTAAGGGGCCAGGAGAGAGCTTAGTGCATTTAGGGTACAGGCCGGTGCTGATGGAAGCCTGCATGAGAACTCCCAAAGCCCATACGGTATATAATCTCTTTATCACATATTCCCATGTCTTCCTTTCCTCTCTTCCTCCCCTGTCTCTCTCCGCTCTTCCCCCTATCTCTCTCTCCAGGCCCGGCGCAAGGTTGTGGGGGTTATCTCTCCACACCTATAGGGATGTTTGGCTCTCCGGACTCTAACGGTGATGGAAACTATGAGTACAATATGGACTGCCTGTGGACCATTGCCATGCCCATCAACAAAGTCATCAACCTCACCTTTTCCTCCTTTGAACTGGAGGGAACGTCTACATCTACCTGCCAGTACGACTACGTCAAGGTTAGGAGATATATCATTCTTCCATTCATTTGTTCATTCATTTGTTCGTTATTTCACTCATTAATCTGCTGTCTCTGTCTGTCTGTCTCTCTCTCTCCGTCCCTCCCTTCTACCCTTCACCATCAGATCTTTGACGGAGACAATATGAACTTTCCTCTGGTGGGGAAGTACTGTGGACGTGATGTAATTCCGGGACCCTTTGTGTCTGCTAGTAACTTCCTGACTGTACACTTCGTCACTGACAGCTCAATCAGCTACAGGGGCTTCAACGCCACCTACAGGGCACAGGACAGTAAGACACCCTTATGTTCTATTCCTTCCCTTTCTTTGTATAACAGTTCACCTGCCCTGCACTCGTTGCCTAATCCATCACACTATTATTAATAAAAAACATTGGCCACATATTTATATTAATAGACTTGTGGGTATTGCAATTCAAAAGACATTGACTGTGTGTCTGTGTTTGTGTGTGCGCGTTATCCAGGACTTTGCGGAGGCACTCTGAACGCTACAAACGCGGTCCAGACCATAACATCTCCTATGTACCCCAACGCCTATCCCCCTTTCATCTCCTGTATCTGGATCCTGGACGCCCCTCCTCAGGAGAGTGTTAAAGTAGCCGTACAACAGTTCAACCTGCAGCCCAGCCAGAGCTGTAACACAAACTTCCTGCACATGAGTGACTGGCCTGTGGTGAGACAGGCTAGCCTATTTTTTTTGCTATTTCTTATGTGTTTATTTGTACAGAGTGTTCTTGGTTCACTTGAAAGGAGCTTACAATTAAACGTTATTTTATATACTTACATTTGTAGGATTACTTTAAACTGTTAACCATAACTGTAACAGTAGCCATAACAATTACTGTACTGACAGGCAAACTGGCACCTCTTTGTGAAGCTCTATGTTTTATAAAGTCCATCTTCACTTACTCTGTGAGTCAAAAAAAAATACTTAATCTAATGCCCTTAATCGTTCTGTATTGTGTGTTTCACAGGGAGACTACGGACAGGCGCACAAGTTCTGTGCTGCGGACCACATCCCAGACTTCTACAGCTACGGGAGGACCATGCACATCGTCTTCAAGTCTGATGCCTTCATCACCGGCAACGGAATGAGTCTGACCTATCAGGTGGCAGGTATGGTGATAGCAGACTTCCAACCGTTACTAACTTGACCATCCTATCTATTAGTTTTAGGGAGAGGCTCCCTCTTACCCTATTCTCCTTTTACTAGTGACTTATTTTAAACATCTGTGTTTGTCCCATGTCTTTATCTTAATGTATTTGTCTGGTGTTTTCTCCCTTGTCTGATTATTCGTCCCTCCTGTGTGTTCCTCCAGGCTGCAGCAGGACCTATGAGCAGGCCTACGGCTACCTGAAGAGCCCCGACTGGCCCAACATCTACCCCCACAACATGGACTGCACCATCATCCTCATGGCCCCCCAGAACAACTCCATCTCTCTGTTCTTCAACAGCTTCAACCTGGAGTCCCACTCCACCTGTAGTTATGATTACCTAGAGGTGAGAACACAGACAGTCTGAGGACACACTGGCTCAGTCTGCCAGTTTACTTGATGCATGGCCATCTTTATACCATACAAGGGCCTGGTTGAAATTCTCTCCTGACAGTCTGTTATATTTTGCCCTTAAATATGAAGTTTGTTTTTTATGCCCATTTTCATATCTTTGATGTTTACATTTTGATGGCATTTGGATGACCGCATCAATTATTATTTAGCTGCTTTATGAATTCTGTGTATCCCAGTCAATCAATCCTTGGTGTTGTCTGTTTATGAAAGGCAACGTCTCATCCTTGTTCCTCAGGTCCGGAATGGCAGTACAGAATCTTCCCCACTGTTAGGAAAGTACTGCGGGACCGCACTTCCCAATCCTATATTCCCGGGCACCAACCAGCTTTACATGCGCTTCAAGAGTGACTTCTCTGGTGCCCAGGACGGCTTTGAGATCACCTGGACCTCTTCTCCAGAGGGTGAGAGATTTAACCCAGTAGGGTGTCCCCATCCTGAAAGACGAGAGAGACACATTCCTAGTCTTAGACATGGAAGACCACTGGGCCTGCTGGTTGTAATCTAAACCATCTCCTCCTTCTTTAGTTTACCGTATGATGCAACCATGGCAATGGTCAAAATTTATCCAATCAAATGACAAAATAGCTGTTTGGTTTATTAAAAAATTAGCCTACCACAAGGTTATAACAGTGTATCTGTAATACAATTGTATAAGGTGATATCAACAGAGAAGTTGCTGGCATTTATATTGTAGGTGTGTGTCTGTACAGTATGTGTATTTTCGTGTGTGTGTGTGTGTTTTCTCCCCAGGTTGTGGAGGGCGGTTATACGGAGACCACGGCTCTGTGACCAGTCCAAACTATCCTGGCACCTATGCCAACGGTACCCACTGTGAGTGGGGCATTAAGGCTCCTAATGGGCGTGTGGTGACTGTCACCTTCGCCCAGATCAGCATTGACGACCCAGGAGACTGCCAGAACAACTACCTGAAGCTGTTTGACGGGAAAGATGCTAGCACTCCTCCTATTGGCCCTTACTGTGGAGCGGTATGTAACATAGGAATTCATATTGAACTTGTTAATTTGTTAACATTTTATTGTGGGGAACGTAGGTATCATCGTGCTCAACCTCAAATGGTCTCGTTTTGGTCCGATGAACCAATAAACAATGAAGTTCAGAAAATATACATTTTATATTATAAAATATATATTATTTTACCTTTTCAGCAGGCAGATGACAATAATTCACACAAAAAAAATACCTTTTATTGAGGGACAAAAGAGCATATCGGGATTATGTGGCATTCATAAGATTTATCAATAGCATTTATTATACAGTTAATATACAGATTATAACATGCAATTAATGGTTGTTGCAAGGGTTTTTCTCCTCTAAGCCTCTCCCTTCTTTCTTGTCGTTCACAGGAGACGAATATCGCTCCGTTCACAGCATCCTCACACCACGTCTACGTCGTGTTCAATGCTCAGTACTCTGTCCTGCCCTCTGGGTTCAGGCTTACATGGAGCAGCTGAGAGGACACACACGCTAACCAGCTTGTTTACAGATTCTCTAATCATGCCAGTGAAACTGGACATCTGCCATGCGATCTTAGCAGATAAATTAAATGTAAATAATGAAAATGCTCTAAAATTCTATCATAGAATATGTTTGAATGATCTGTTTGTAGATAATTTTATAAAGAATGGCAAATATGTATTTTATGGAGTTGCCATGGGGTAATAAATTAATGTCTTTTTTCATATAACATCTTTGATGTGCTAGCCGACATAGCAACCTTTTAATAAAAGTTATGTTTTAAATGAATTATGGGGGTATCTATCTTACAGGACAGCAGCTGTATTGAATTGTAAATGCATTTATTACATCAGGAGACACAACTTTATGAGCAGACTGACAGTCCAGACACATATTATTAGTGGAATGTTTTTGGGTTTTGAGAAGCAACAGTCTTGCAAAACATGAAAGAAGCTCCTTTTTTATTAGTAGGGATCTCTCTTAAAATACTTACATCTCTTAATCAAAAGATGTTGTTGAAATTCGCTGAGTGTACAAAACAGTATGAACATTATGAGCATAGATGAGGATATGAACATAGTTAAGTGATAACCTCAGCTCTAAATATGCAGTGACAGTCCGAATATGCATTCGGACTGTCACTGCATGGCCCATTGTATATACACAGTGTACAAAACATTAGGACCACCTTCCTAATATTGAGTTGCACCCCCTTTTGCCCTCAGAACAGCCTTAATTTGTAGGGGCATGGACTCTACAAGGTGTCGAAAGCGTTCCACAGGGATGCTGGCCCATGTTGACTCCAACGCTTCCAACAGTTGTGTCAAGTTGGCTGGATGTCCTTTGGGTGGTGGACCATTCTTGATACACACAGGAAACTGTTGAGCGTGAAAAACCCAGCAGCGTTGCAGTTCTTGACACACTCAAACCGGTGCGCCTGGCACCTACTACCATACCCTGTTCAAAGGCACTTAAGTCTTTTGTCTTGCCCATTCACCCTCTGAATGGCACACATACACAATCCATGTCTCAATTGTCTCAAGGCTTAAAAATCCTTCTTTAATCTGTCTCCTCCCCTTCATCTACACTGATTGAAGTGGATTTAACAGGTGACATCAATAAGGGATCATAGCTTTCACCTGGTCAGTCTGTCATGGAAAGAGCAGGTGTTGTTAATGTTTTGCACAGTCGTGGTCAAAGGTTTTGAGAATGACACAAGTATTGGTCTTCACAAAGTTTGCTGCTTCAGTGTTTTTAGATATTTTTCTCAGATGTTACTATGGTATACTGAAGTATAATTACAAGCATTCCATAAGTGTCAAAGGCTTTTATTGACAATTACATTAAGTTTATGCAAAGAGTCAATATTTCCAGTGTTGAGCCTTCTTTTTCAAGACCTCTGCAATCTGCCCTGGCATGCTGTCAATTAACTTCTGGGCCACATCCTGACTGATGGCAGCCCATTCTTGCATAATCAATGCTTGGAGTTTGTCAGAATTTGTGGGTTTTTGTTTGTCCACCCGCCTCTTGAGGATTGACCACAAGTTCTCAATGGGATTAAGGTCTGGGGAGTTTCCTGGCCATGGACCCAAAATATCGATGTTTTGTTCCCCGAGCCACTTAGTTATCATTTTTTCCTTATGGCAAGGTGCTCCATCATGCTGGAAAAGGCATTGTTTGTCACCAAACTGTTCTTGGATGGTTGGGAGAAGCTGCTCTCAGAGGATGTGTTGGTACCATTCTTTATTCATGGCTGTGTTCTTAGGCAAAATTGTGAGTGAGCCCACTCCCTTGGCTGAGAAGCAACCCCACACATGAATGGTCTCAGGATGCTTTACTGTTGGCATGACACAGGACTGATGGTAGCACTCACCTTGTCTTCTCCGGACAAGCTTTTTTCCAGTAGCCCCAAACAATCGGAAAGGGGATTCATCAGAGAAAATGACTTTACCCCAGTCCTCAGCAATCCAATCCCTGTGCCTTTTGCAGAATATTAGTCTGTCCTTGATGTTTTTCCTGGAGAGAAGTGGCTTCCTCGCTGCCCTTCTTGACACCAGGCCATCCTCCAAAAGTCTTCGCCTCACTGTGCGTGTAGATGCACTCACACCTACCAGCTGACATTCCTGAGCAAGCTCTGCACTGGTGGTGCCCCGATCCCGCAGCTGAATCAACTTTAGGAGACTGGCGCTTGCTGTACTTTCTTGGGCGCCCTGAAGCCTTCTTCACAACAATTCAACCTCGCTCCTTGAAGTTCTTGATGATCCGATAAATGGTTGATTTAGGTGCAATCTTACTAGCAGCAATATTCTTGCCTGTGAAGCCCTTTTTGTGCAAAGCAATGATGACAGCACGTGTTTCCTTGCAGGTAACCATGGTTAACCGAGGAAGAACAATGATTTCAAGCACCACCCTCCTTTTAAAGCTTCCAGTCTGTTATTCTAACTCAATCAGCATGACAGAGTGATCTCCAGCCTTGTCCTCATCAACACTCTCACCTGTGTTAACGAGAGAATCACTGACATGATGTCAGCTGGTCCTTTTGTGGCAGGGCTGAAATGCAGTGGAAATGTTTTTGGGAGATTAAGTTCATTTTCATGGCAAAGAGGGACTTTGCAATTAATTGCAATTAATCTGATCACTCGTAACAACATTCTGGAGTAATATACAAATTGCCATCATAAAAACTGAGGCAGCAGACTTTGTGAAAATTAATATTTGTGTCATTCTCAAAACGTTTGACCACGACTGTACACTTCTATGATGTTAATTCCAGGTAGCAACAGGAACATTTTGGCTGGCCCTTTTCACTCCCATTTTGTTTCCCCCTAAATACACACACACACCTTCTACACCAGCTCCCTGTCAGTGGGTGTGTCTAATTCCATCAGTTATTGGACCATCTAATTTGAGTGTCTGGACATGCCTCAACTGACATGACACCTCTGACAGCCCTGATCAAACAGACAGTCAGAGAGAAGGAAAGAGGGGGATAGGAGAGATAGGAGGAGAGAGAGAGAAAGAGGGGGCAATGAGAGGCTGAGAGAGAAAGCAGAGCGAGGGAGGAGAGGGAAAAGGAGAGAGAGCTGGATAGCGGAGAGAGACAGATTGATAGCAGGGAGAGAGGGATCATGGAGTAAATGCTGTCAGAACCAGACAGTGCTGATATTGTTCTGACAGCTCTTGGCTGTAGGAGAAAAGGATCAGTAAGGCTAACACTCTCAGGGGAGTGAGAATGGTCTGAGGGACTTAAGCGGTATTATTCTGCAGGATCCAATAAAGGACAGCAGATATGCAGAGTATCTCACTTAGCATGTTCAGGTTTAGCCAGCCAGCTGTTGTAAAGCCTCCCACAGCAGGTCCATAGACAAAGGCCCAGGTAAACGTTTACGTTTTAGTAATTCAAGACGCTCTTATCCAGAACGACTACAATAAATCAAATGTATTTATAAAGCCTTTTTTACATCGGCAGTTGTCACAAAGTGTTTTGACAGAAACCCAGCCTAAAACCCCAAACAGCAACCAATGCAGTTGTTATAGTCACCAACACAAAGCCTGACAGCACCATCCCCACCAGGGCAATACCGTCCAGGTTAGCCTCCATGTCAGCCTCCATGTCTGTCCAGTCCAGGAACCACAGGATGGAGGTGTAGGCCAAGGCAGAGGTTGATCTTGCCCCCCACACAGCGCTTCACACTGATCAGGTAGTCTTTGCAGCACGGCATGAGGCCTCGCTCTCCTATCAGCTGCTTGTTCTGGTTGTAGGCAACAGTAAAAGCAATGACTAGAGAGTGAGAGATTGGGGAAGTGTGAGGTGCCCCCTTACACTCAATAACTGGTTGTACCACCTTTAGCTACAATGATGGGAGCAAAGCATCCCCAAACCATCACACTATCACCACCGTGCTTGACCATTGGTATGAGGTTCTTACTGTGGAATACAGTGTTTGATTTTCGCCAGACGTAACAGGACCCATGTCGTCCAAAAAGTTCCACTTTTGACTCTGTCCATAGAACAGTAGTCTTGACGATCATCCAGGTGCTTTTTGGCAAACCTGAGTCAACTTTCTGGACGGCATGGGTCCCGTTATGTCTTGCAAAAACTAAACACTGCATTCCGCAGTAAGAACATCGTACCCACAGTCAAGCATGGTGGTGGTAGTGTGATGGTGTGGGATGCTTTGCTGCCTCAGGACCTGGAAGACTTGCCATCATTGAAGGAACCATGAATTCCGCTCTGTATCAGAGAATTCTAATGGAGAATGTCAGACCATCCGACCGTGAGCCAAAGCTGAAGCACAGCTGGGTCATGCATTAAGACAATCTACATCAGAATGGCTGAAAAGCAACACATTTAATCTTTTGGAAGTCCAGACCTAAACCCGATTGAGATGTTGTGGCAGGACCTGAAACTAGCAGTTAATGCTCGAACACCCACAAATGTCGCTGAATTAAAGCAGTTCTGCATTGAAAAGTGGGACAAAATTCCTCCAGCTATGTGAGAGACTGATCAACAGCTGTTCAGACTCCTGAGTGGCGCAGTGGTCTAAGGCACTGCATCGCAGTGCTAACTGTGCCACTAGAGATCCTGGTTCGAATCCAGGCTCTGTCGCAGCCGACCGGGAGACTCATGGGCGGCGCACAATTGGCCCAGCGTCGTCCAGGGTAGGGGAGGGAATGGCCGGCAGGGATGTAGCTCAGTTGATAGAGCATGGCATTTGCAACGCCAGGGTTGTGGGTTCAATTCCCACGGGGGGCCAGTATAAAAAAAATATGTATTCACTAACTGTAAGTCGCTCTGGATAAGAGCGTCTGCTAAATGACTAAAATGTAATGTACAGGAAGCGTTTGGTTGTTGTCATTGCAGCTAAAGGTGGCACAACCACAACCAGTTATTGAGTGTAAGGCGGCAATTACTTTTTTCACACAGGGGCATTGGGTGTTGCATAACTTTGTTTGTAAAATAAATGAAATAAGTATCCACATTGTGTGTTACTTGTTCACTCAGGTTCCCTTAATCTAAATTAAGTTGTTAAAGATCTGATAACATTCAGTGTCAAAAATATGCAAAATCAGGGACGCCATGTGCGACTGACGTGTTTTCCGTTTGCTCCCGTGGTATTTTTAAAGTTTATGTGAATTTTGCAGCAAAACCGTATTTATTTTCATATATTATTTTGGTGATCCCTTCCCGTAAAAACCAAGACTACTTTACTTCCAAATATCAGCATGTCGACGAAACATAAGGCCAAAAGCATGACTTTGAGAAAACCCGGCCTACAAGACACACT